TATGTCGCTCCTGGCCGTCACCGGAAGGAGCACATGGATGCCGCTAAGAGGGTGTTGCGCTACTTGTGCAGTACGTCGGGCATGGGGCTTGTGCTTTGAGGACGGAGTGACGTTGTCCTTACAAGACACTCAGACGCTTCTTGGGCTGACGACCAGGCTACGCAGCGGTCGTCTCAGGGTTACACCTTCAGCCTTGGCTCTGGTTCAGTTTCTTGGCGTTCTACTCGCTCGTCTTCAGTTCTCAGCTCCAGTTGTGAGGCTGAGATCTACTCCACAGCCATGGCTGCACAGGAGTTACGCTGGCTCACCTACATGCTGACTGACCTAGGAGAGCGGCCTAGTTCTCCTCCAGTGCTGTACGTCGACAACAAGGCTACCATTGCCTTGTGTCAGGAGCACAGACTGGAGCACAGAACGAAGCACATCGCTCTGCGCTACTTCCTTGCTCGAGAGCTGCAGCAGCGTGGTCAGCTTCGTCTTGCTTACGTGGCCACTCGGGCCAACACTGCTGATGTGTTCACCAAGGCGCTTCAGCCTTGTGATCATCAGCGCTTCTGTACTGTTCTAGGCCTTGTGCCTACTGTCCCTCACTTGCTCACTTCTTGACTCTGCTTGTACTGTGATCTCTATATATATACCTGCATTCACTTTGACACAGCCCCATATGCAATGTTTATGGCCCTACGGGTAGCCCATAAGGTGGTACAACCCAATTAGGTTAGTAATTTTACTCACTTTGATCTCAATGCATTCATTCCCGTTCAGTATTCTGACACTTTTTGCACCATTTCTTCACACATTCAGGTATTTCAATCCATTACCTTGCCATAGGAACCAGTTTGAGCTCATTCGCACAACTACGCAGCACGTGGCGCTTGTTTGTGCGTTCGATGGCCTGAAACTACGAAAGGATAGGATAGTACGCAACACGTCACCGTTTCATCATCTGGTTGTTCTATTTAGCACCATTTTTTCACACATTCAAGTAATTCAATCAATTACCTTGCCATAGAAACTGGTTTGAGCTGGTTCGCACAACTATGCAGCACGTGGCGCTTGATTGTGCATTCGATGGCCTGAAACTGTGCAAGGATAGGCTAGCACGCAACATGGCACGGTTTCATCGTTTGATTGTTTATTTTAGCACCATTTCTACACACATTCATATATTTCAATCAATTTCATTGCCATAGGAACTTTTTTGAGCTCATTTGCACCACTACGCAGCACGTGACGCTTGTTTGAGCGTTCGATGGCCTGAAACTGTGAAAGGATAGGACAATACGCAACATGTCACCGTTTTATCTTCTTGTTGTTTTATTTAGCACCACTTTTTCCACATTCAAGTATTTCAATCAATTACCTTCCCATAGGAACTGGTTTGAGCTCGTTTGCACAACTATGCAGCACGTGGCGCTTGATTGTGCGTTCGATGGCCTGAAATTGTCATCCATAACCCTAAACCCTAGGATAGGCCAGTACGCAACATGTCCCCGTTTCATCGTTTGGTTGTTTATTTAGCACAATTTAACCACACGTCCAGGTATTTCAATCAATGTCCTTGCCATATGAACTTGTTTGAGCTCATTTGCACAACTATCGCAGCATGTGACGCTTGTTTGTGCGTTCGATGGCCTGAAACTGTGCAAGGATTGGCCAGTACGCAACATGTCACCGTTTCATTATTTGGTAGTTTTTTTTGGCACCATGTCTTCTTTAATTCAAGTATTATAATCAATTACCTTGTCATAGGAACTTGTTTGAGCTCGAACGCACAACTACGCAGCACGTGAAACTTGTTTGTGCGTTCGATGGCCTGTGGTCAAGGATAGGTTGGTACACAACATGTTATTGCTTCATCGAATTCCTGTTTTTATTAGCCATTTTTTAGCAACACGTTTTGTAGCCAAGAGTTGGGGGAAAACGTGCGAGGAAAAGCATTGGCGATATATGATGTTTAAATCCGTGTAGAGTTCCTGGTACTTCAAGTAAATTCTGATATATACATACTAAAAAACTGTTGTTGCAATTTGGGTGAAACGCCCCTTGACATAAGCAAGGTGAGAGCAAGAAAAGCAGCAAAATTTGAATAAAGCATGACTTCATTTAAAATTGTAACACTTCCACAATTCATTACTATATTGGTGGTGGTAGGGTGTAGTGGAGAAGCGAGCGGCTGTGCAGAAGCACTCTGGTCGGGTGCCCCATCACAGTGCAGAGCAGGTGGACCAATGCCACATCAATTGGGTGAAGCGCACCTGGCAGGTCCGATACTGTAGTTCTGCTCGTGCTTGTCGCGCCAAGCAACTCGTCACTTCGGTTTCTAGTTCGGGCAGTTATTGCAATTGTAGTAACGACTTTTACAGGAACTATGTTGCAGATTGATTGGGCCATTATCATGTTAGCAAAATCCCCAAAAGAGCATTACAAGTAACGGGCGTAAAACAACTTTTCTAGTTCTTCCTGGTTGGAACAGAGAATACATGAATCTCATATTGACCAATGGCGTCACCACCTGACATCCCAACACAGCTACACGGGCCAAAAATCGACCGCCGCTGTGCCAAAAAATACCAAAAAGAGCTGGCAGATCAATTGATCAAATCGTTTTGTGCGCCCTGTTTTGCCTTATCGCCACATAAGCGCCAGCGGAGCAGACGCAACTCAAACTTCACCACCTTCGGCTTCCCTTCCTCCCATGGCTTGCCCCCACCTTTGAATCGAACCCAAGCTTTCGAGCGCATGTAAAATGAGCTAGTTAGTTGCAATCCTTGTAAACCTGTGAAGAGCTCTTCTCTTGCACTAGAGTAATTTGTTACTGGGTCTGCTTTCTTCCTCGCTGGTCTCTGCCGTTAGTTTCTGCAGATGCGTGTAACCGTGAGTTCAAAAAGTTCTTGAGCATTTTCTTTATGCTGTGCTTTTACTACGTTGTTAGCTGTTCCTACAACATGGTTGTTGCCTGATGTTTTCTTCACAAGAGTCGATTTTCTTCATTCCCCATTGACCATTTTCATAAGAATTGATTTCCTTCTGAAAATTTCCCGCACTAGCTTTTCACAAGCATGTATATCGCGTGTTTGCCTGTTATTTTGTCGAACAACATGGGCTACCTTCTTGTATGCTCTGTTTCATCAAACTATTTAGTATTTCGCCTGTCGTGCTTCTCCCCATTCAATGATAACACTAACCTCGTGCCGTTTGTAATGTCCTCACCTCTGCAGGGTACATTAACATACTGCAGGGTGCACTCGCGTACAGCAGGGCACAATCGCGTAATGCAGACTTGTTTATGTTTACTAACACTTTTCTGAACTTACATTCTGTCTTCTGACATGCAGGTTCAATTGTGTTGCTGAGTTATACTGATGGGGAACGGGTAGTATTCCTATAGTATTCGTGTTGGAAGATTTCCTTTTCCAGCCAAGTAATTCCAACTAAACATTCTGTTAATACATATATTTAATTTTTCATATCAATCAGCCGGTTTTTCTCCTGGGAGTGCACAAGTGATTTGAGGTTAAAGTGCTGAGGCGGATCGTTAATTCTCAAGCGATCAATTCGGTTTTGAGCTTCGACCAATGGGAGGCGTCGGTTCGGTTCATAGACTCAGTTTGACTCGACTCTTTTGACCAAGCAATCACAACACGAAGTTTCTGTTCGCGCCACGATTTCGCAGCTGCTCAAGCCGACTGCACTGATTGGGTGATGTTCGCGCACGTTCTAAACACGCAGCGCGAACAGGTTCAGAACAGCCGAACATGTTCAGAACTTCCAAACATGTTGAGAACAGGTTCCAAACAGGTTAATTCTGCATGCCCTAGATTATGAAAAAATATATACTTGACTATGAAATGAAGCACACTGCCTTTGCCCATATAAAATAAAGCACGTTGCTTTTCCAAGTTGGCCTAAGCAAACTTTCACACTTCTATCACTGTGAAATAGTATCCGTACTCGCACAACACATTCCATGTGAAGGGGGAATAGGGGGGGAGGGGGAGGTGGGGGGGGGGGGGGGGGGGGGGGGGGGGGGGTCTTATAATGATTACCCTGAAAATGAGGGTCCTCCTCACAAAACCTTCCAGAATAGAAGTCATTAAGGGTAGTTAGCCCTCAGTCCCATCAGAATTGAGCGTCCCTCTTCCTCCATAGAGTCCCCAGGGACCGTCTTTCCGGCGGGTCCTATATACCGGGGAATGCTATACCACAAGGAAGCAAGCATACCGTAATCCCCTGGATAAGCCAACCGATGTAGTTGAAGACCCCGGGGTAGCTTATGCAGGGTGGATGCTTTATTTAGCCTCACTTTTGTTATACCCCCCCCTTTGGGTGTATTTTTCATAACACCCCCCTCCTACCTAGAAGTGTATCTTTATGGGTTATTCTTCCCATCTACATGGGGAAATGCAAGGGCGGGATGGAAAAACGAGGGCAAATTTCAGAAAAAGAGAGGGAGGCGGGCAGGAAAAGCGAGGTGACAATAAGGGAAAACGGTGGCAAGAGCGACAGACGACTCGAGTGGAAGCGAGGGTGCCGAGCGTAGGGCAGGCAGGGAGATCGCCTCGACACATGCACGGTGGCTGTGTGCGAGGTGCAATACGGTCACCTCTACAGTCCAAAATCCCCCCACTGCCTTGCTTGAGCCACTAGATTCTGCCACCTGGCAGAATCTAGTGGGATCCAAAGCCATCGACTTGTGCCCCCTTTCGCGCATCTGAATTGAAATATAAAAGTCAAGGCGAACACCTGCTTTTGTTTCCAATCATTACAGCTTTGAGAAATTAGTGTCATATGAATGCGCCCGGGTGTTATATATTTTTTTCCGCCTAAGCAAACACCCATTTTTTTCCCTTTAGTTTTCTTCAGACCCTAGGGTGGTTTAACCAGGGGATTACGGTATCTTTGTTTGAGACACCAACTCGTGGAAGTCGAGTATCAACATACTAGTTAAAATAAGGAATCAGCACCTGCTTGTCGGCTGTAACACTGTAACGAGTTAATTACGCAACAGCGTGAATGAGGTCTAATTCTTCATCCAGGCCTAGGTGTATCTTGTTTGCACCCATCCTCGCCTCATCCTCCGCATCCACTTTAACCGCCGCACGCACCTCCTCCTTCCCCCCCACTTCGTTCCTGGCCGCCTGCAGCTCGTTGGCAACATCTCCCATTGTCGGCCGGTTTGCCGTGCGTGCCACCGTGCAGCTGATTGCCAGCTGAGTGAGGCGCAGCAACACCTCCTCTGGAGCGTCCATGCTGGGGCTCTTCAGACTCGCCAGGTCCCCTTTTGACAGGCACTCCTCCACCTGACGAGTGCAGACGTTCGGAAAAATATTTTGAGGGGAGCAGTTGGGAGTGAGTGAGTGAGTGAGTGTGTGGCAGATGGCCGAACCTCGAACAGACCAAAGTGCTCAAAGCTGACAGGCCTTGAAAGTGAGAGCACAAAGCCGGTGGAGGCGGCGGCGGTGGTGGTGGTGGCGGCGGCGGCAGCGGTGGCGGTGGTGGTGGTGGTGCTCACCCAAGGTAGGACGTGCATGCTCCCCTCCGCAGTCTCGGCAATGTGAGTACGACCAGTGAGCACCACCAGGATGAGCACTCCAAAGCTACAGATAGGGAGAGGGAGAGATACGTTATTGCCAACAGCATGGTGAGGCATCATAAGAGCAAGGCTTGAAACATAACATGCTTGCAAAAAGAGGAGATCCTACATTTTAAAACAAACAACGTTGATCTTATGCCAACCATGCTTCCCCTTGTCTTTTTCCCTCTACAGTGCGAAACGCGAGCTCATATGATTGACGAGCAAATGGATGCAAGAGTTATTTTACTTATATGATGAACTTACGAACATCACCTCAACTTCGCTCAAGTACCTGTAAACATCAGTGGCCGTGGTTGCCTTATTTGTCCTGGAGTAAACAGGGTCCACATAGCCCGGTGTTCCCATCACTCGCGTAGAACCCACTGTCGTGCCCTCTCCCACCCTCACCAATCCAAAATCTGCAACCTTGGCCTGGTGGGTACAGATTTTACCAAGTCGAAATTGGTAGGATAGTGATTGTATTGGATGGGGGTATACTGCATCCTGCAGAGCGCATACCATAGGGAGTTGATTGCACATTGAAACCATTAAGAAGAAAAGTACTATCCACGTGTATGTGCATTCCATTTACTATTATAGGACATATTACAAGGTGATAGGTCCCAATTTTCAGTGAGTTAGAGTTCATAGGAGAGGGATCTGGACAGCTGAAAGTTGTTTTGTTCGAATTGACGAAAGACAGATTCACATACACAATCATGGTTGCATGGTTGTTTGTTTACAAAGATGACTGCACTAGTGAGGATTCAAAGTCGATGCCATGATGCACGCTGTCTCAGTTGGCCCGTGATTAACTATGTGATTGTTGTGACACAATGGATTTTTTTTTTTTTTTTCTGAGGTGTCTCGTAAGTTAGTCGACTTATGATAAACTGAAACGTAACACAATGGACAAAATACCGCTTTTTTCTTCCTTCTTACTCCTCTTCTTCTTTTCTTCTCTTTTTTGTTTGCGGATTTGGTGTCGCGATGCACACTATCCAAGATTTTAATAATCCAAAACGATGCTGTGATAATTCAAGTCATTCTTTCTCATTGTTGAGGGGCTTGCAATGATACTCTTCTTGCCTGCATGTCAGCGCTGATGAGGATGTTGGCGGGTTTGATGTCGCGATGTACGAAGCCAAAGCTGTGGAGATACTCCAATCCCCGCGCTGTCCCAATCAAGATGCCCAGCCGCTGCAGCAGGGTCAAAGTGAAGGGTGCCTCTGCAGGAGGAAGACAGCATTAGGACAAGTGGGAATGAGCACAGAGCATCTTGCTCATGGCATTAGGCACAGGGTAATAGTCACATGGCATTAGGAACAGGGTAATAGTCCCATGGCACATGGCGTTATGACATGTATAATGATAAGCACAGTCACCACGAGGATGTTAGTGTTAATCCCTCAATCTCACATTTTGTACTATCACTTTTTATATCCTAGTGTAGAGTACTTTGCACATCGTGTTTGGTTGTGATCTCCAAGCAATCTCCAACCCACCAATTGGAGATTGCCTTGGGATTACCTCCAATCCCTAGAGATAGCCCCCGATTCCAGTCCCCATCCATTCCTTGCTCATCCTGGATGTACTTAAAGAGCTTCAAGCTCATTACTAATCTATCGATTCTAAGCTTAGTTCTCACAGAGGAAACCCAAGGTAGACGCACTTGTAGGGTCCAGCCACCTCTCGAGGTCACCGTTGGGCACAAACTCATAGATGAGGACCTGCTCTGGCCGCGTCCTCATGTCTCCCCCCACAGCAAACCCAAGCAGCCGCACGATGTTGGGATGGTTCTTGTCCGCCATTTGCTGGACCTGACAGGCGTGAAGAAAGAGCATGTTTTAGAAAATGAGAAAAACGAGCTTTCAACGCACGCAATGATGTGAGTGTATGTTATGCAGATGACAAGTATGCAGCAGCACCGCGCGGGCGCTGATATGGGTTTGAGTAACAGATTTCTGAACTGGGATGAAAAATAACATGACAGGCTTTCACGCACGCATATGCATGAAAATAAATGCGGACGTATGCACAATAAAACCATATATTCAACGATTCACTCACCTCTCGCTGGAAGTCAACATCTATCAGCTTGGCGCGCTTCACAGCCCACTCAGTGGTGCCATCGCGCGGCGACACCCCCTTGTACACGTCACCAAAGGCCCCCGAGCCCAGCTGGTTGGCTGCGGACCACCTGTTGGTGGCCGATTCAACCTCAGCGAGAGAAGTCTCGATGCTGTGTAAAGCTGCGAAACTGCCAGCCGTGGCTGCTTGTGGGGCGAGAGGCCGAGGGTTGAAGGCAAGGGTGAGGGGCGAGGGGTGAGTGAGGGGGTGAGGCTGATGGGTCAATGTCCCATGGGTGATGGGTGAGGTCTGGACGGATTCCATTGGCAACCCCACCCAACACACACATGCACACGCACACCGCGAAATACAACAAAACCACATCAAATAATAAAATGATTGACTCTTGTGTGTTTGTGTTTACACTAGTTTCCGTGAGAACAAGATTCGAACCTCTATCTATTGGAGGTCTCGGCTAAACCCAACGGGACCCCCTTATCCCACCTATCTCTTCCCACTACCTATTGATTCCAACCTCTATCTATTGGAGGGCTTTGCTATGAACTTGGTGTCCTTTACCTCTACCAATGCTTCCTTTCCACCTGTTGATTTCTGAATCGCCTCAAAACCTACCCAGGAGCCACCCAAGAATCACAGCACGTTGTCAGATTGCCTCTTGGTCTGTGCCGGCTCCTCTCATCCTCTGCTTGCTTCCTTTCCAGGGGACCTTCTGGCTGTATGCCTTCATGGACTCAGGCACTTATAGCCACCAATCTATACGATGTACATTGGGACAACGTTCCTTCCCACCTGTTGGCTTCTGCTGCCGCTTGTGCCGGAGGTAGAGCAGCACAGCAACCAGCAGCAGCAGCAGCACGGCAGCAACACTTATGCCAATGATTGCCGCCAACGGTAAGCCACCGCTACTACTGCTGCTGCTGCTGCTGCTGGTGTTGGGGCTTGCTGTCGATGGGGTGGGTGGGGGTGGGGAGACAGCTGCCAGCAGCCCAGAGAAACAAGCTCAGAAACTTCAGATGAGGTGAGGTCACTTGGGTGAGGTTTGGGCCGACTCTTGCACTTGAGAAATCTCAAAAGAACGTCCAGAGAAACAAGGTCAAGAAAGTCCTAAAACCTAGGCGATTGATAGATGCAATGACTGAACCTAGGCAAGGCAGCTTAGAGATATTGGAGTTAAAGGGGCAAGTGACAGAATGTGCTGTTTCTTTTGTTCATACATATATATATAAATATATGTATATATACATATTTAATGCAATGATGCTGTGCGCTGCACTCACATGTAGAATTTAGGCAGGTTGTGCAAAAGGAACGGCACTTGTGGCAAAAAGCGGTCACGGGATTTTGCTTCGTGACACAGCTGGTGTCGTCGGCTGGACATGTGAGGTTGGTGCCCCATGTATTGCTGCCATGGAGAGGAGAGTAAGAATAGCCAAGCCATGGCTTTCGAAATGTTTGATAGGCATGGTCAACCCCCCAGGCGCATTTGCAAATTCCAAGCACAGAACAAACGCATTGTGGTATAAAAGCTTACAAGTTCTGCAAGTGGAGAAGGCTTCCAGTGGATGGTGGGATGGTCCCCGAAAGGTTGTTCATGTGGAGCTTCCTGCAATAACACGTGCAAGCACGACAGGAGGAGGTGAGGTGGAGAAACACTTTTGAGTTGACTCAGAAGAAGCGAGAACCGGAAAGAGTCAAGAACTTACTGAAAGGTGATGCCCTTAGCTGACTGACAAGGGAAGGTGATGCATGCATTTGTGTAATGACGGTTTTTTTTCGGCTACGCATGCTGCCAATGCCAATGTTGGATGTGTGGCCACGCCTCAATGAATTCGGCCCAGGCGCGGTTGCATATTCCAAGCACACAGCAAAAGCACCATGCGGTGGACAACAATAAACAGCTTACAACTTTTACAGGTACAGGAGGCTTTCAATGGACAGTGGGATAGGCCCCGAAAGATTTTTTTCGAAAACGGGTCAACCCGTATTTAGGTCGGTAGAATGGGTCGACTTGCAACCCGTATTTAGCTCAGTAGAATGGGTCGGGCCGACCTGTTGTATCGGGTCTACCCGTTCCGACTTTGGGTCACAATAACGGATCAGGTTGATCCGACCCGTTGGCGGGTCGAAAGGGACCCGCCAATTTTCACTCCACATTTTGCTGTTGTTCTACATTTTGCTGGGGTTCTACATTTTGCTAGGGTTCTATCCTCGACCTAGATTAGTATGACTAAATTAATCTCCTGTGTATGCGTGAGTACTTCTACTACGATTGGCCATGGATACATGGATGGCATAGCACCCTGACCAGAGGCTCCTGGGCCCTGGGAAGGTGGCTTCTTTCCATGAGCTATGTGTGGACGGTGAGGATGAGGGGATATGACTGTTGGTTCGTCCCGGGGATATATCGACAGGTTGCATGTTATGCTTTGTAGACTTGTTTCCTTGTTTCCATTCTGACAGGCGTTATAAGCTGCGCATGTTGCCAATACTGGATCGAATAGACCTGCTCAATGAATCCGCAGTCAAATCTGTGATTAGCCAAAAGGCCGAAGGGCATTCTGCAAGGAAATTCCTTTTACGCTACAACTCTTCAACTTTTTGGAAGACTAGGCTCGGTCCGATGACCTCGCCTTCCGAAGCTGACCCGCGTCATCTTCAGGCTTGGCATTTCCAGACCAGCACCCAACCTCGCTTTCTGAGGTCCCCGCCTAGCTAGATCCTCTGTTTTATGCTGTTGGGGCTTCACTTCATTGACAATACTTGTAATCTCTCCTTCGATATTGACTTCCGCGCACTCTTTCATTTACAACTCATATATTATCCCCTAAAGCTTAGTAATAGCATACATGGTGACTGAGCAATAGGACGTGAGTTAGAACATACCGAAGCAAAAATTCGAACACCTGTTTGGTAAGACCCGATGTTTTTTCTTTGCGTAAAGTGTTCGATCCGAACATATTTGTGATTAGTTTGGCAGTCGAACGTTCATGTTTGGATTCAGTTTGGACCAACAAAAACGTGTTTACGATGTACAGACATTGCTATAGCAGTGTTTTCTTATTTCCACAACACCTTCAAACATTTCAAGGAGTAAGGTTCTCGTCTGTAATGTGACTAGAGCAAAGTGCACCCCCTAGGTGAATACAAACATGTTCGCCTCGAACATGATTGTGCTGTTCGAGGCAAATATGTAAGTAGGCGAACACTCAAACGCCCTCTTTTTAGAAGTGTTCAAGTCGAACCGAACACGTTTTGTTCGCCCACTGAACAAGTTCAATAGACGATCGACCCAAACACGTTCGTGTTCGGGTTTTGCTCATCCCTGCTGACAATAGCAGGGATGGATGGGGGCAAGAGACGTGAGGAAGGATGATTTATTTGCCTGATGCGAGAGGATAAGAAGGAGAAGAGTAGAGAGGAGAAGAACCTCTAGTATAGCCAAGGGCCTTGCTGGGGGCTTACAAAATTGTCAGTTTTGCAAGGTTGCCGATTGTAGTGGGAATTGTGCCACTGATTAGATTGACAGAAAGTGACCTGCGATTATGAGTATGAATAAGCATGCGGTGGATGCAGGAATCACAAGTCTGCATTGTTAGAACTTGAGCTGAGAATCCATACACTAGTAATGAGCTCAAGGCTCTTTAAGTACATTGGAAATGGGCAAGGTAGGGGTGGAGAGAGTATCGGGGGCAATCCTAGGGAATTGGGGGTAATCCCAAGGCAATCTCCAATTGGTGGGTTGGAGATTGCTTGGAGATCACATTTGGGTTTGGTTGGGATGTGGGTGTACACCCAACCAAACACAAAGTGCAAACTACACTAAACTAGGATATAAAAAGTACAAGTACAAAATGTGAGATTGAGGGCTAACATTAACACCCCCCCATAGGCGTCAATCGAACTCATGGCAGAGAAGGTGAAGCGCAGAGCCCCATGGCACCGAGAAGGCGATGGTGAGGAACCTTCCCAAAGGGCTTGGTGAACAGATCAGCCAAGTTGCAGTCAGAAGCCACGTACTCCACATTTAGCTGCTCTCGCTGGACAAGGTCACGGAGAAAGAAGTGTCGTAGTTCGATGTGCTTGGTGCGAGTGTGGTACACGGGATCCTGGGAGAGGTGGATGGTGCTCTGGTTGTCACACCAGAGGGTGGGAGTGGGCTGAGGGAAGCCCAGCTCCTGGAGTAGGAAGGTGAGCCAGCGAGCCTCTTGCGCCGCCATAGTGCCAGCATAGAGCTCTGCTTCACAGGACGAGAGGGAGACTGCAGATGACCGGGTGGAGCGCCAGCTGACAATCCCGCTCCCAAGGGTGAAACAGTAGCCTTGGGAGGAGCGTCGGTCGGTCTGGTCATCAGCCCAGAAGGAGTCTGTGTAACCTTCCACTCGAGGAGGAGAAAGCCCACCAAGGGTGAGGACATGAAACTTGGTACCCTGCAAATAGCGCAGCACCCGCTTTGCCGCTTTCCAATGAGGGTCTGTGAAGCGTCCAGGAGCCACATAGCGAGAGAGGACACTGACATGGTATGCCAGGTCAGGCCGGGTGCACATCATGGCGTACATGAGGGACCCAACAAGCTCTGGCTACGGCTCAGTGCATGCCTCTGGTGTGGGTACAGCTGGGGCGGTGAGGAGGTGTTGTAGTGGCAGTGGGGTGGCTACAGGTGTGCACAGCTCCATCTCAAACCACTTGAGCACATTGTTGATGTAGAACTCCTGGGAAAGAGAGATGGTGCGAGCCTGGCGATCGCGAGTAATCTCCATCCCCAGGTAGTGTTTGAGGTCACCGAGGTCTTTCATCAAGAGGGCCTTGCTTAGGGCCTCCTGAACAGAGGCCATCTAGGCCGAGTCCTTGGCAACGCGGACGAAGTCATCGACGTAGACAAGGATGTAGAATGGCTCAGAGTGACGACGAATGAAGAGGGTCGGGTCGGCAGAGGATGGGTGAAAGTCCAGTGAGAGAAAGACTTCTTTCACCTTGTTGTGCCATTCACGAGGGGCTTGCTTGAGGCCGTAGATAGGGTGATTCAGCTTCCAGACAGTGTTGGGAGGGAACTCTCCTGGAAAGCCTTCAGGTCGATCCGAATACAGTCTCCTTGAGGCGTCCTTGCAGGAAAGCCGAAGAGGCGTCCATGGATTTGATCTCAAAGTCTTCTCGTGCTGCTACATCCAAGAGCGTGCGAACAGTGGGTGGTTTGGATGTGGGGGAGAAGGTCTTGAAGAAATCCAGGTACTGGTGCTAAGTGAATCCCTTGGCCACGTAGCGCGCTTTGAACAACGGGGCCTCGTCCGGAAGCTGTTTCACTCGAAACAGCCACTTGCCACCAACGATGTTAACTCCTGGAGGTGGAGTTTCGTCGTCGAAGGAGTGGTTGCGAGTGAAGGCTTCAATCTCAGCTTCCATGGCAGCACGCCATTCGGCAGCATGGGGACCCGAGAGAGCCTCTTGGACAGTGAGAGGGATAGGGATGGTCGGGTTCTCTGTGAAATTGAGTGAGGGTGATTCAGTGATGTCGGGGAAGATGTGCGAGAGCTGGGGAATGACTGCGTGAAGATCACAGAGCTCCTCATGCCTGTCTTCCAAAAGGGTTGAGGGCACATCCCCCCCGGCAGGAGGAGTCGGAGTGATCGCTGAGCATCGAATAGCCAGTGCCAGCGGAGGAGCAGGGCCATGCGAGCGAGTGCCATGAGCCACCGGAGAAGAGGGTGGAGCAGGAGGTGTCGGAGGGGTTGATTTAGGAGGCTTGGGCGGGGGAATTGGCCGCCGCTGGAACGTAATCAGTTCGGGCGGCTGTGGGAGAACGGGTTCCTGGGTAGGAGGGGGGATTGGGGGAGGAGGTGGGGCCGGAGGGTTTGACCGCCGATGGTATGTGATTGGTGCGCTCGGAGGTGGCGGCGCAGTTTGCAGAGTGGGAGGTGAGGGGGATGGAGGAGCAGCTGCCGAAGACACCGGTGAGGTCGGGTCAGAGACCTCAGAGGGGGGTGGTGCGATGGCAGGAGAGGGAGGAGGTGAGGGGGCCGGTGCAGGCGGGAGTTCAGGGGGCGCATCAAAGTCCGCCCACACGAGAGAGGGTGGATCGGAGGGAGGATCCGGTCCCGAGGTGGAGTAGAATGGGCGGGTTTCATCAAAGACAACGTCGCGGCTCCGGACTAACTGTTGAGTGGAGGGGTTGAGGAAGAGATAGTCAGGGGAGTCGGCGTTGTGCCCAAGGTAGATGCACGTTTGAGTCTTGGGACCGAGTTTGCCGCCGTGATGCCGCCTAGCCTGAGGGTGGAGGAGGACATAGGCGGTGCACCCCCAGACGTGAAGAGAGCGAGCAGTGGGTGTTTTCCCGAGCCAGAGTGTGGTTGGAGTGGTGTCGGGAAGATGCGGGTGGGGGTGGAGGTTGTACAGGAGGGCGGCATGGTAGAGGGCGTACCCCCAGAGAGAGAGTGGAGCGTTGGAGTGGCTGAGGAGGCACCGAGTGATCTGCACCAGGGTGTGGTTGCGGCTTTCTGCTATGCCGTTCTGCTGCGGGTTGTCAGGAAGGGTGAAGTTTTGCTGGATGCCTTCTGAGGAGCAGAAGGCTTTGAGCTTGTTGTTGCAAAATTCACCACCCCCATCCGAGTGAAGGCGCTTGACCTTGCGGTCAAAGGTGGTTTGTGCCTGATTGACCCACGCCATGATGACCTATGGAACTCAGCCTTAGTGTGAAGGAGGTGAACAGAGACGTAGCGGGAGTGGTCATCAACTATAGCAAGGAAGTAGCGATGGCCACCTCGTGCGGGAACAGGGGCAGGGCCCCAAACATCCATGTGCACTAGGTCCAGTGGTGCTGCTGCGACTGAGGGTGAGGCAGGGTGGGGCTGTTGGCGCAGTTTGTTCTTGGTGCAGTCAAGGCACGTGGGAGCTGGTGAGTCAGGTGGTGGGGGAAGTGAGGCTGGCAGGCCGAGAAGAAGTTTCTTGGAGGCCATGTCAGCAAGTGTGCGGAAGATTGGGTGCCCGAGCCGATGGTGGTAGAGGATGGTCGGTTTGGAGAGGCTGCGACATGAGCATGGTGTGGTAGTAGCCTGTGCTTGGGTGTTTGACACATGTGGGATAGGTACGCGCGGTGTGCAAAGGCCGCTGCTATTGAGGGTGAAGCGGGCCAAGACCTTGTTGGTGAGTGGATCGATGATGTCGCAATAGTCTTCATTCTCCGAGAAGATGGTGCGTAACCCCGCCTCCTGAATTTCTGTTTGAGCCACTAGATTGTGGCGTAGTGAAGGCACAAACATGCCAGTGACAGTGCCGGATGGGAAGGCGGGGCATGGGACTGTGGATGAACCCTTGGCAAGGGTGGTGAAGCTTGAATCAGCTCCCAGGAGAGGAATGGGTGTTGCGTAGGGTTTGAAGGAGAGTGTCTCCTTGAGCACAGTGTGAGTGGCCCCGCTGTCGAGTGTGAATTTTATGTATGGTGGTGCTTGTGATGAGCCGATGTACTGGGAGGTTGCTTCATTAATCATGGCAGTGCCAGGGAACAACAGGTTGATAGATCAGCAGGAGCACTATCACTAGCAGTAGCCGAAGCGAGGTCCTGGACCTCAACTAGGTTGGCCTTACGAGGGCGCATCCAGTTTGGCGGCTTCTTGTCTACTCCGTGGATGGCATACCATTCGTCGTCTTTCCTCTTGAAGCACGTGGCGAGGGGGTGGTTAGTGCCACCACACACTTGTCCCTTGCGGTTGCCATACTTGACGATGTAGGTGCATGGAGGAAAGCGGTTGCGCTGAAAGGGCGCCGAGGCAAGTGCCGATGCGACACTTGCTTGAGACACGGGAGCACGGAGAGCGTAGGCCTTGGCTTTGGCCGAGGAGTCTTTCTCGGCGGAGAGGAGGGCGGAGGATACCTTAGCAAAGGTGAGGTCTTCCGCCGAAGACGTGAGGAGCATTTTCCTTGTGACTTCGTATGCCGAGGTGAGGCCAACAAGAAGGGCGGCTGCAGGAGCTTGTTCGGGGAAGATGATACCTAGCTCCTTGAGCTCGCCATGGATGGTTTGCACCTTGGCGATGTAGTCGGCCATACCCGGGTAGTCCTCAAGGCGGACTTGAAACATGCTAGGAATGAGGATGGCTACCCCGACCGCCGTCTTATTCATGAACCTGTCCTCGAGATGGTTCCAAATGGCGTTGGAAGTGGGGTAGTTGTGGAACGTGTTGACAAGTTTGGGAGGAGTGGAGCCGATGAATACGCTAATGATAGCCGCATCGGCCTTCTCCCACTTGCGATACTTGGCAACAGAGTCCTCGTACTCCTGGGTTGCCACGATATCGGTTGGATCGGACGGCTCCTTGGGGATGGGGGGCTGTTTTCCCTTGCCATGATTGAGAAGAACGTCCTTGAGGTCAAGTCCACCCACTTCACGGCTCAGGAGGAGCTTGTCAACCCCGTAGCTCCATGCCTTGAAGTTGGAGCTAGTGCCGTCGCTTCAAGGCGGAGTGGGGTGATGGGGTTGGCGAGAGTGGCCGAGGCGAAAGCCATGGCGAAGAACCCTTTAGGTATTCCGTGAAGCGCTGCTCTTGAGTCACCGATAGGAACTTGAGGTTTAGGGTTTCCGAAGGAGAATTTGAAGAACTTGGGGTTTAGAGTTTACGAAAGAGAATTGTGAGGTTTATGGTTTCCGAAGGAGAAAATCCGAGGGACGCGAAGAGCGAAAAGCTTTAATGTCAGCCGCTTCGGAATGTCTCGTAGAAGGAAGTTTAAGGCCGATGAAGGTAGGTCAAATCGGCCGATTTCGGTAGCTAACCCTATTCCCACACACTCCCCCACACACCACCCTCTGCTTCGCGGCTACGCTGCTGCTCAGCTTCGCTGCTACACGGCTGCTCAGCTGCGCGGCTGCACCTGTTCAGCTGCGGAGTGCCGTTGCGGGGCGACGGGCGGCAGCCCGACGAGAAGATGCAGGGCGACGGGCGGCAGCCCGACGAGAAGCTGCAGGGCGACGGGCGGCGGCCCGACGAGAAGCTGCAGGGCGACGGGCGGCGGCCCGACGAGAAGAAGTGGAGCGAAGACGATTGTCAAAGAAAGTGCGATTGGTTAAAGCGTCGACGATGCGCTCACCAGAGAAGTTGCGAAAGTCATCGAGAAGGAAGGGAGAGTGGCGAGAAAAAAAAAACAGCCAAGGAAGTCGCGAATCACCGGCGACGGGATTGATGGCGGCTACGCCAAAGAAAGCGGGACAAGAGCCCGTTGAGATAGGAGTATCATGATACGCGTGTGCGGTTGAATTGCTCTGATACCATGTTAGAACTTGAGCTTAGAATCCATACACTAGTAATGAGCTCAAGGCTCTTTAAGTACATTGGAAATGGGCAAGGTAGGGGTGGAGAGAGAATCGGGGGCAATCATAGGGAATTGAGGGTAATCCCAAGGCAATCTCCAATTGGTGGGTTGGAGATTGCTTGGAGATCACATTTGGGTTTGGTTGGAAGGGTGTACACCCAACCAAACACAAAGTGCAAACTACACTAAACTAGGATATAAAAAGTACAAGTACAAATGTGAGATTGAGGGCTAACATTAACATGCATGGCACCAAGCTCAGTTGGAACGAACAAGCAACTCCATTAGGAGGCGAAATTAACAACAGAGGCATGAAACGCAGCACGATGGACATTGTTGGTGGGATATGTGGGGACAGTGGCCGGGATAGATGAGGACACGATAAGTGAGGAAATATTCGCTCTTTAAGTGCCACAAGGAGTGTCATCCACATATAGAATAGCCACGGGGAAGAACACATGGGAGAGCAGGATAAGAAGGAAGAGAGGAAAATGTAGTGCATAGGGCAGGACGAGCATCAAAAGGAGAAATGGCAGACAGTAGAGAGGAGAAGAAGCTATATTACATCCAAGCAAAGGCCTTGCCGGGGGCTTACAAATAAGTCAGGTCTGCAAAGTTCCCCAATGAAGCAGGAATTGTGCCAGTGAGTTTATTGCTACCAAGGTCTCTGCCGCGATGAACATGAATGCACATGCAGTGGATACAGGAAGGTCAAGTTTGCATGGCAACAAGCACCGCATAGGAGCAAGCTGCTCCACTAGAGGGTGAGATTTCCGAGAATGCAACGAAGGACTGAAAGGCAGCAACATGGACATTATCCGTGGAATGTGAGCTAACGCCGTCAGAGGATAGATGGGGGCAGAAGAAGTGAGGAGCAACATGCACTTTGCGTGCCCCAAAGAGTGCCATCGATATATAGAATGGCCACGGGAGAGAGAGTAAGAGAGGCGGAAACTATATAGGGAACTATGAACAGAAAGGAATGAGGAGGAACAGAGAGATGAGAAGATGAGAAAGGAAGAAGCAAGAACCGAGAGATGAGAAAGTGCCATGAAGGGAGGACGAGAAGACGCAAGAAGCTTGCAAAGATGAGTGATATGCAATGATGACTACACAGGAAGCTCAAGTTCCAGGTCGATCGGGTTCCCCCAATTGACGTAATTGCGCGACTTAGGCTCAGTGGAAGAGCAGGTCCCATAATATGGCATTTAAAAAAAAGTTGGAGCTCTCATTCGACGTTTCCAGTAACAACACTCTGTTTATGTGTGTTTCGTATCGATTTTGGGCCAGTAGGCAGCCTACGATTGCTTAAGTACACAGTTTTTTACATTCGGTCCAGGCAACCAGACTTGAATGGTTCGGCGCTGATTAGTGGGGCTCGAACCCATTCAGGTTCGGGTTTGGCCACTCGAACATCCAATCATGAGCTAGTTTGTTTCGAACCAAAGTGGTTCAGTTTAGATGCTGCACTTTCTTCTCTCATATTATGCTCACCACGGCATGTCCATACTCCACCACACTCAACCACCGTGAAGTGTGGTCACAGCTGACATTGCTGGCCCCTATGATGTGCGATATGTTCCCATGTAGGCTGTTGTTCCAGCCTGGCCCACAGGTGCAACATGAGGCCTCACTTGCTAGCTTGGCAAGGTTGGCTAGCCTCGCCCTCAACTTTTAAGGCGGCAGCTAGCCTCAAGTTTTCAGCCATACATCTATGGCTACACTACTTCCCTAGGGATTATCCTAGGACAAGGACTCTGCCTCATCTCAAGGCTTGTGCCATCTTTGGCTAAGCATATGATCTTCTTCCCATTGTGCCCTGAGGTTCACCGATCCATCTTCGACAGGGTTCACCACTTTCTCATCTCTCTACTTACATGACGCCTAGGTTTGCAAGGTTGCCGATTGCAGTGGGGATTGAGCCAGTGAGCTGATTTATATTAAGATTTCTGCGCCAATGATCACAACGGGGCATGCATGCGGGTAGATACAGGGAGCTAAAGATTGCATGAAAACGCGCTGGGATAGGAGCAAGCAACTCCATTGGCAGGCGAAATTCCTGTTAATGTAAGGCTGTGCGATGGACTTTGTTCATGAAATGTGTGTTGACAATGGCATGGGATAGAGGGGGGCAAGAGAAATGAGGAGAGCCGTGTTCTTGCTCCAAGACAAATCATAATTTGCACGGGGATTGAGCATAGGAAAGGGAAAGGGAGACGCGAAGTCAAGATAGCAACAAAAGGAAATGAAGGAAATGGACAGATTATCATCACAAAGGTTGTGCAGAGAGAGTAGGCCTAGAAAAGGTTAAAGTCCGGTCAATTCGACCCCCGATATTTTTGCTGAGGCAGGTTGCTCCCATAGTGGGCTCGACCTGACCAGGTCGACCTGACCCGACCTGACCCGATCCGTATCTAGGCATGGGCAGAGTTCAACCATGTTCGAGTCGAACAGAAAAAGGGTTTGTCTGACTCGAACATGTAACTCACTTGAGACGAACAATTTGGTTCAGCTCAACTTGTTTAGTCGAGCTGTGTCAAACAAAACATGTTTGAGTCAGCTGTAAACCAACCTACCTACTCTCCTAGGCATCTCCTAGGGTTGTCGTAAGATAGTATCAAAAGCTACATCCTTGGAAATGTAGGAAATCTCCTCCCTGGGCTTCTTCCTCTGAGCAATTCCCGACATTTGTTCGACATTTCTCCTCCCGTTTCCCCCAGTCTTGTTCCTACTGACCGCTTCCCTGATTTCGCATTTTCACTCTATCATTGTGTCCGTTCCCATATTATTAAGCATACGCGCACGTGCGCGCTTCGAATATGGCGTGCGTTCTTTCCACTACGGCCTGCACGCAATTAACTATGACCCACACGACCTCAAATCGGCTGAAGCCCGCCTCGTACTCGTCTTTTGCTCTCCCAACCCACCCAACAATCCCCCCCCCTCCTACTCCCTCTCCTCCATCATCTGCTGCACTCGGTCGCTGCTCGCTGTTTCCGCCTCCTCGTTTTCCTCTCCTCAGCTGCTCAACAGCCGTTTCCCCCACTATTGCACATTGTGCACATTGGGTCTGTTTTTCGACTCTGGCCTATTGTGCTTGATGTGACTATACGCAAGCACCGATCGAACCTCGGTTCGGTTCGGTTTTACCCGAACCGAATCATTTTTTATGAAACTAGTTTGTGACGAACCGATTCGTGATTAACCGGTTTGTTGGTCAATGTGGTTCATACAAAGCATTAGAACTAGTGTGAAGCATATCAACCAAATCGAAACGGTTTGGTTCGGTATCGAAGCGCACTAGTCCAGGGACAACTGGTTTGGTTAATTAATCTATAAACAAACCACGAATCCCCCCTACATAGCGGATCGTTAACAAAAGGGTTAACCACGAAGTGCCCCCTACATAGCGAGTTTCTGATTGAACCGTTCGAGTTTGGTTCAGGTATCTCATGCGCTTGAAACTGTTCGGGAAGAACATGTTCGAGTTCTCCTGTTGCTCACGTCTAACAGGTACTCCTCGACCTTGTTCCTTCATACCAAGGTCGAGGCATCTGCTGTGGTCATCAATAGGACAGAACAGCCCTGCACTCACTTCCGACGGAAAAGAGTTTCTTAACAAGACCCATGCCTGCCTCCTACTGCGCCACGTATGGCATCCACCAGACTCACACCCTCCCGTACTCCCCTTAGGAGAATGGCGTCACTGAGAGCCGCATTCGGAATATCACAAATACCAACGGTTGCCTCCTCTCTCTCATGCCTCCATCCCCTTTTCCAGTTCGACCAGGTCCGACTCGAACGGTTTGGGTTCGGTATGTGCTCTTGCCTACTTACAGGCCTTCTAGGTTTGCAAGGTTGCCAATTGCACTGGGGATTGAGCCAGTGAGCTGATTATGATCAAGCCATCTGCGATGGTGAACACAAATGGGCATACATGAGTCAGATACAGGGAGCTGAAGATTGCATGCGAGCAGGGATAGGAAAAAGCAACTCCATTGAGAGGCGAAATTCCTGAAAATGTAACAGAGCCATGAGAGGCTGTGCGATGGAGATGTGTGTTGACGATGGCAGGGGATAGAAAGGGGCAGGAGAAGTGAGGAGAGACGTGTTCTTAGCGTGCCGTGGCCCAAGGCACATCATCATTTGCGCAGGCAGCTGGGCATAGGAGCGGGAACAGGAGAGGCAAATAGTAGATGGCGACAAAAGGAAATGAGCGGAGTGGACTGAAATTGTTAGAGACACGAGTGGAGAGGTTATGCAAAACCAGTAGGCCTTAGCAAAGGGTCAGGTCAGGTCAGGTAGACCCCCGGTGTTTTTGCCAACGCAGGTCACTCCTCTTGTGGACTCGACCCGACCCGACCCGACCCGACCCGACCCGACCCGACCCGACCCGACCCGACCCGACCCGACCCGACCCGACCCGACCCGACCCGACCCGACCCGACCCGACCTGATCCGACCCGACTTGACCCGCCCGACCTGACATGAGCCGAGTTGACCTGCATCTAGGCATGGGCAAAGATCGAACCATGTTCAAGTCGCACATAACAGGGGCTTTTGTTTGCTCAAGATTATTGACTCAATCATGTAAGTTACAACATGTACTTGTTTGAGTCAAACAGTTCGGGTCGGTTTGACTTTAGTCGAGCTGCGTCGAACAGAACATGTTCAACTCGTACAGAAGTTCGGGTCGAACATGTAAGTGTTGCGCGAGAATCCTCTGCGACAGGTTGTCACATTGAGCTTTTCAGATCTCCTTGCGGCACAGCATCTCTCCAAACCAACTCCTTTCACTTTAGCTATTTCAGCTTATGTCTAGATAGCATCTTGCACTTTGGTTCTTAACTGTTTGTGGATCATTTCTCAAGCATTACTGAACCAGCTCCTCCTTGTGCACATTGGGTATGTTTTTTCACAAGAAGTTTAGGCTGGCTCTTTTCGACTACTCCTCCCGGTTCGACCCGGTTTGGCCTGAGCTGGTTCGGGTCCGGTACTTGCTCATGCCTGCTTACAGGTGTATCAGGTTTGTAAGGGAGCCGATTGCAGTGGGGATTGAGCCAGTGAGCTGATTGTACTGAAGATATCTGCGAGGATGAACACGAATGGCATGAATGTGGTAGATACAGGGAGCTGCATTGCATGACAATGAGAAAGGAAAGGAACAAGCAACTCCACTAGGAGGCAAGATGCAGAAATTGCAACAGAGGCTTGAGATCCAATGAATCGGTCAGCCCATTCATTCCAAGCAATTTCTGATGTGCCTTGAGCTCATTATCTGATTAATAGAATTTTCCTTGATCTCTCACAGACTGTACCCAATCTATTTAGCTTATATGCAGGATACAAAGTGGAAGAGAAGCGCAGAAAGGAAAACACAGCCAAGCAAAGGGGCTTACAGGTAATTCAGGTTCAAAAGGTTGCCTATTGTAGTGGGAATTGCACCAGAGAGCTTATTGCTCGAAAGGCCTCTGCCACGATGAGCATGAATGGGCATGCGGTAGATACAGGAAGCTCAATTTTGCATGGCAACGAGCAGCAGAAAGGAGCAGGTAACTACACTGGGAGGCAAAATCCCTGAAATTGCAACCAAGTCAAGAACGGCAGGGTGATGGACATTGTCCACGAGAAGTGTGCTGATAATGGCTGACCCTAAACCCGGGGATAGATGGGGGCAGGAGAAGTGTGGAAAGTCGTGTTTTTTGTCTGCACCACGGCGTGTCAGCCACGTATAGAATGGCTACGGGGAAGAGAGCACGTGAGGGGCGAGGAAAGAGGCAACAATGTAAGAAAATGCTTCAGCAGCCTGTGCCCCCATCCGTACGTGCGCTTGCCCCTCTCCTAGCATATTGCGCGACCCTCCTTGGGTGCGCGCACCTTGCGCTGGGCCCTGGCCTGACCACCCACCCCCCCCCCGACCCAACCCTGGCCAGCATATGGTTGCATGGCCGAGGGCTGGGTTTCTTGCCATGCCAGCCCGACCGGGGCCGGCCAGGGGAGCAAATTCTGGAGTACAGCCAAGCAAACACCTTGCAGAGGGCTCACAGATATCCCAGCATTCGAAGGTTGCCGACTGCAGTGGGGATTGTGCCATTGAGCTGATTGGCAAAGAGTACTCTGCAACGATAAGCACATGTGGCAGATACAGAAAGCTCGATTTTGCATGGCTTGGCGCGCCCTCGGGACTCGACGGCAAACCGAACACGAACGTGTTCGGGCAAACACGAACTTGAGCTGAAAGCTCTTATGTACATTCGAAATGCAAAGGAGCGGATGGGTCTGGAATTGGAGTCAATCTCATTGGAATTGGATGGGATCGGCTGAACTCTGCAATTGGTGGGTTGGAGACTTTGGGTGATCTCATTTGGGTAAGGTTAAGATGTTGTAACAAGCAACCCACAAACCACAACTATATTAAACAAGGATAAACAAGGTAAATACAAAAGTAGGTTGAGCTCTAAATTCAAAACCTTGAACCCTCGGCTCTACACAGCAGTGTGGCCTCACTCTCCCTTACTTCCCGCTGATAGAGCTCCCTGAGAGGCCTAGCTCAATCTGCACAGTGGCTAAGGTAAGAAGTTGAGCAAGACACAGTGTAAGGCTTGTGTCGTTGGAGGTGCTGATAGTGTGCTGTACTGTCATATATACAGATTGGCGGGAGGTAGGGTTGTTGGTAAGTCTGGAAGAAGGTTGTTGGGAAGGAACTGCAGAGGTTGGTTGGCTAATTTCCAAAGGAACAAGTTCAAAGAAGCTGAGCTGTATGGCAATGGTATTCCGCAGCCAGGCCTTAGGGTGCACGGGAGTGAGTAGGAGGAAGGCAGCTGGGTAGAAAAATATCAAGGGAAGAAACGATTTGCTTACTTATCACTTGTATGATTTTAATTACTGCAACATGTTTTCCTAACACGAACGTAAAAAGTGTAAAGAAACACTAGCGGGTCGATCTGGGTAGGAGCATGGCTTGCAATCCACGATCACATGGCTCCAGAAGCATGCGCACTACTAGTACCAAGACCACATGATACAGCGAAGGAGAGGGTGGTGGTCAGCGAGCGGGTAAGAAGGAAGAGGGGTCAGTGGAGTGCATGGGTCCAGGGTGGCAATAAGCGGAGGAAGAGGAGAGGTGTAGAAGGGAGAGCACCACCTTGCAGGGGGGCTTACAGGTAGACATAAGCATAGAACCAAACCCTAGCACAGTTCAAGGCGAACTGCTTCTCCTTAAACCGGCCGGTGCCTCTTTATTAGCCATCCCGCAGGTCCCATTATATGGCAAAAGATATGAAAGTTGGAGATAACTTTCCACGTTTCCAGAAAAAAACGGGCTAGCCACATGTGCCTTGCATTGATTCTAGGACATTAGGCCTACCCTTGCTTAGGTACACTGTTGTCTTCTACATAGTTCTGCCTGCCAAGCCATGGGGTTTGTCTCGTTGTCCTAAGAGCAACAAGAGTTTATGGAAGCAAGGCCTCCACAGCCCACCTGTCTGCTACTGACAGCTTCTGCCAACCGAACGTGAACCAATTCGGCCAAAGCTGCACGAATTCAATTCGAACCAATTCATGTTCGAACTTCAGGATTTGAACATCGAACGATTAGTTGTCCGGGCTGGTTCACCCCGAACCAGAGTGATTCGATTTGACTAAGCCCACCAGTTCGATCAGGTTCGACACGAACCGGTTCGCTCGCTCATGCTTACTTACAGGTTTTCTAGGTTTGTAAGATTGCTGATTGCAGTGGGGATTGAGCCAGTGAGCTGATTGTATTCAAGATTTCTGCGACGATGAACCCGACGAAGCATGCATGCGGTAGATATAGGGAGCTGAAGATTGCATAGAAACGAGCTGTTGGATAGTAGGAGCAAGGAACTTCATTCGGCAGGAGGCGGAATCCCTGAAAATGTAACCGACCGAGGCATTAAAGGCTATGCGGCGAACATTTTCTGTAGGATGTGTGCTGGCAATGGCAGGGGATAGAAAAGGACAGGAAAAGTGAGGAGAGATGTGTTCCTTGCTTGCCCCTAGACAAATTAAAGTTTGATTAAGGAACTGACATAAAAGAGGGAAGAGGAGGGGCGAAGTCAGAACATCGACAAAAAAAATGCAATCAGTGGAGAGAAAAAATATAGATATCGAGAAAAAAGGTTGTGCGGAAAGAGTAGGCATGAGCAAATGTTCAATTCGGGCTGGAGCCCCTTCACTAGTCATTCGGATCGGGTCGAACCGGCCCTCCACCGGTTCAACGTGGATGTGCGACTTGGGCTCCGCGTGACAGGAGTTACATCCCATGATATGCCAACAGAAACAATGCACTAGTCACCACTAGGCATGAGCATTCCACGCTTTCCACGCTTCCAGTCCAGTAACAATGCACTAGTCACCACTAGGCATGAGCATTTTTACCGAACCGAACTGGTTCGGTAGTTTTATTTTTAATTAACAAATCTGTTTGGTATGTTAATTCAGTTAACGAACCGGACCGGTTCGACCAGAATGTGTGGTGAAGGCTTTGGTGTGGAAATATTGCATCTAAGCACCCAAGGCAGAACCTAAACTACGAAACAAATGGGCCTGGAAATGCATCTTTCCTATAAGAAAGCGTCTAAGAAACTGAATGGCGGTAGAAACTCATGAAAAACGCCTGGAGATGCTATAAATGGAAGGTGGCTGGGGGCGTACAAACAAAACTAGGAGAGAGTTGAGGCTCGAAATGAGCTCGATGGGTGAAAAACAGCCCCTCGCGACCTGGGTCGTGCGGGGTGTCAGAACGAACCAGTTTTTGTTCAGTTTGGCAAGCCTCGAACATTTTAACCAACAAACCAGAACCGCCAAACCTATTTGTTAAATGAACCGGTTCGGTTCGTCAGTGAGCCAAATATAAAAAACTATGATTCGGTTTGAAATTCACCGAACCGAACTGCACCGAACCATTCCGCGGTTCGTTCGGTAGGGTTCTCATCCTTACAAGCCATGTGTATTTTGTACTGAGTTTGCTTTAATACATACGTCAGGCTAGAGTTGAGCAGGTGCCCCGCTCGGGTCGGGCCGACCCGACCCGACCCGTGGTTTTGCCCGGGTCGGGTCAAGGTTTCTGAATCTCTGACCCGTACGGGCCGACCCGACCCGACCCGGGGTAAGACCCGATCCGAGGGCCCATTTTGGGCTGGGCCGAGCCGGGTTTCCGGTCGGGCCTGCCCCGAACCGATTTCGGGTCTAAAATGTCGAAATCAGGTCGGGCCAGGTGCGCGACCCGATTTCGAGAGGGCTAGGGCCGAAACCCTAGCCCAAATGTAAATTAATCGAGGGGATTTGTTCCCCGTCGATTTACATTCGCCACCCCAGCAGCTAGTGGCCTTAGAGTATTAAGTACCTTCCTTTAAACTACCTCCTATCTTAGGCTTTCCCCCATGAATGCACATACTTTCAGTTATATTCGTAGATATACGATTCTGGCTGTACTTAGTGCATTTCGCGCAGGTCAATTTCGTAGTTTTTAGGGTACTGAGATTCAAGCGCAACCTCTACTTTCCTTCGACCCCACCACATCCGTGGCGTTTCCGCTGTAGTGGACGCATTTACCGGCAACCAGGGTTCAAAAAAACGACCGTTTTATTGAAATTTCACCGTAAAAAACGGTACCGTAAAAAACGGTCGTAAAAAACGGTTTAAAACGGTTCCAGGATGTGTTTCCTCTATAACTAACAAAACGGCCACTTATTGGGACCAAATTGAACCCGAAATGCAGCAGCATGAAGGGGATGGACCCCTTCTTGCATGTATGCGCTTGTTGGCATGATCGAAAATGTTTTTGACCTTGTTTTTTTCTTTTTTTTTCTTGGTGAACAGAGATCTCTAACAAAAAAACGGCCGTTTTTTTGAAAAATCACCGTAAAAAACGACCGTAAAAAACGGACCGTATTTTACGAAAACCGTAATTTTGAACCTTGCCGGCAACCGCTGCACGATTTCACATAGGTTCGCGTCGGCCGCTTGCACGGTGACGGGGAATCCGCGAGCACACATTTCGTTGCACATTGTGATGAATACCCCCAGCCTCCCCCTAAGGGGGCGGGTCTGCCTGGCCCGACCCGGCCCGACCCGACCCCGGGTCCCCTTTGACCCGAGTCAGTAGGCCCGGGTCGGGCCAACTGTTTCAAGTTTCTGGCCCGAGGTTGGCCCGACCCGACCCGACCCGAGGGCCCGTGTGGCCCGGCCAAATCGGGTCGGGTCGGGCCGGGTCGAGCCACATGCTCAACTCTACGTCAGGCAACCGAACTTGGACCGATTCAAGCCAAACTGCACTAGAAGCCCTTCAGGCTCGAACTTGAGGGCTTGAACATCAAAGCGTGAGCTGTTCAAACCAAACCAAACTCGTTTGGTTCATACGACTATGCCCGGGACTTGGAGCAGGTCTGACCGGCACCAGTTCGGCTTTGATAATTGCTCACGACTGCTTACAATTGCTGCAGGTTTGTAAGGATGCCGATAGTACTGGGGATTGAGCCTGTCAGCTGATTTTTATTAAGATCTCTGCAACGGTGAACACGCATGGGCACGGGCCAGGAAGAGCACCAAGGGGAAAAATAGGGTTTAGGGGTTTCGGGTTTAAGTTTTAGAAACGAGGAGGGAAGAAACGAGAGCACAGCCAAGACAAGGCCTTGCAGGGTGGCTTACAGGTATCCCAGGCTTGCAAGGCTGGTGATTTCAGAGCTATGTTGGAAAATACGCCCACACCTCGATGCATATCATGTATATACGCAAGCGCATGTACGAAAATGCGTTATACGTTTCGTAATACATGACACGTTTTGGCCAGGCAGCACGAGAAAAACAAAAAACCAAACAAAACAAACAAATTGTTCCCGCCGTTTTTGTTATCTGCAAAAACATTTTTTCTAGATTCGAAACTCAACTGCCCCCTCAATTCTCCCCGAACCCACGGCACATCACCTCACACCACCTGCCAAACCCAATCCTTTCCTTCCAACTCGAGCATCTCTTATCATAAATCAGGTGCATCGGCGTGAAAGCAACATCATTCCAATCATATGTCTTGAGCATACTTTAGACTACTTTTTCTTAACTCGCAGTTTGGTGTCGCGAAGCAATAACAAACGCTAACCACAAGCAGCGACATGAATGTTGCGTTTCTTGCTGCCAGGATCTTTGCAGCTACAATTTCAGGATGATTCTGGCCACAACAATATGTTATGCATCCCACTTGGCCATTCTGGCTAGGTACCACACAATTTCCCTCTTCACCCTCGCCATTGTTTTTTTTACTCTGCCCTTAACATTTTTTTATCCTGCCCAACACACCGTATTTCGAACGTATTGGGCGGCAGAAATCCATTCTGATGGTGGCGACGAGTTCTTTACACACACCCTCTCTCTTTGCATTGCTCCACCCACAGCATTCGCAATGCCTCCACACTGATATACCTCCACTCTTCTCGCACCCCTCCTTCTCCACCAGTCCACATCTCACCAGACGTCAACATGCCCAATGGATTCGGGCCCAATGCCCAACACAGTAGAGAACGTACAGGATAGAGAGCTCGCGGAGGCTGCTGATGGAGTCCGGAATGGACCCGCTTAGATTGAGCTCAGGTAGCTTCCTGCACCCAAGAGCACCCAAATGCACCCAAGCATGCCAGCGTATGGTTACCATCAGATCAGGAAAGTGAAAGAGTGGTGTGGTGCGGCCTAGTTGGTAGCACGCGCGCACATAGTGGTCACCGCATGCGGATACTCAAGGGGCAACCCTCCTGCACGAGCGTCAAGCACACTGCAGTCAGAGTACAGATTGGATCTCACATCACAGAGATCATTCCGCTGCTGTCGCATGTGATACCCTGTGCACTGCTGCAGTCCGGATTGGAGTCCCCCCAACCAGTCAACGTCTGGCCCCATGCCGTCTGGCAGTCCCGCAGGAATTGCACTGAGGGTTGGTGGAGGAGAGGTGAGGTGGGGAATGGGGAGAGGGAGGTGGGTGTTGGAGGGTGGCGGAGGTAGCCAGGAGGAATGACAGGGAGAAAGGGAAGTGCGTCTGGGTGGGATGGGTGGGGAGGGCGTGGCGTGAGGAGCGCGCATAGCAAGCAATGGCACATGGCACAGCTATCTCAAATTATGGCTCTGAAAAATAAAACACACACAAAGAGAAAACTTTGGGATGAGGGTAACCAACAGGTTCCAGTCAGGCAGGACGCCCAGTGTTCCCCAAGTATCCCAGCAGAAACATACGGTTAGGGCAAAACGATACCAAACCACGAAACTTTGCCACCACTTGTCACACAACGACCCACCACATCCAATTATCATGAACTGCGTCCCGTTTCTGTTTCCGACTGAATGGCTCTTCCCAACCCATCACTTCATCCCAACCAAGCGCAGGACTCGACTCGGATTGTGAATGCATTTTACCTCCTAAGCCAAAAAAAACAAAACAAAACAAAACAAAACAAACCAAAAAAAAAAACAACAACTCTCTCTGGATTGTGTGGAGAATAGGAGTTTCTAAAAGTGGTACAGGGGTAGACTAGTGATGGGTTTGGATACATTTAACCATGGAAATCATACGCTAATATGGTTTGTTATCCGATTGATGCCTCCCTTCTTCCTGGAAATCGAACGGAACGTTCAGGGACACTTTAGGGTGGCTGTTGCTTCAAGGCATTGTGCTTTTGGTTGCTGATACCCAGTCCCGCACTGACATGTCTCACCTTGCGACGCCTGAAGCGGCTGGGCGTTGACCAGGGCGACGGGCGTGGCAAGTTGAAGGACGACGAGGCACCATGCGAGTGCCAGCGCGCGCTGCACCCATCGCTCTACTAGTAGTAGCGCCATGATTTCCTCACGGCTCACCGCCGCCGCTGGAGGCGTGAGGGTGGAGCGCTACACTGCGCCGCCGTTGGGCTGACTCGCCCGCCGGGAGCCAAGATGTTTCGTGACGCTCTCCCCGGCGACCCCCCACGCTCACACTGCGAATGCGAATGCGAATGCGAATGCGAATGGCAGTGCGAAAGCAGTGCTCGCGTTACGGCGGCCCGCCGATGATGAACTCAGGCACACGATTTAGCCGCGTGTGGCCGCTGGGACGGATGGGCCGGTGGTGGTACGCGGTCCGAATAGGAGCGGCTGATTAAAAGGGACGAGTCGTTCCAAGTGAACACATGAATTGGATCATGAAGGAAGGGCAGAGAAAAGAGTGGGCGCGGGTGGGCGATGATGCTGGGCTGAGATGTGGCCGCCCTAGCGCAGGTCTACCGTCTATTCCCGCAATGAGTCGTTCGGGTCGCCATCATCTCGTTGTGTACATAGCTGTTCTATGACAAAAGTCGGCAGGCCGACTAATAGATATTCATGTCAGGTGTTTTGTGTGGACCGCAATGGATCATACACCACGTTATTGCGTGGACTACAGCTGTTCTACAACAGCTGACCTCAGCACAACGTCCTAGGAAGTTGGAAAACTGACTGGGCAACCATAGAAAACGTGGGACTCTCTTATTAGATGACAGAATTTCATGAAGCTGATTTGGACATTGCAGCACAGATGCTGACAGCACAGCTGTATTGAAGTCTCTCGCATCCGAACCACGTGTCTCAATCGTAACTTGCGTACTAAGTTGTCATCGCCTCAGTTGTACCATCATGCCTACCTGCTAATGAACAGTACACTCCCATTATTATTGCATCGTCATGAAGAGTATGTACTCTAAAAAAACCATGACCACCTTCTATAACAAAATAATCGCAATAGGTGTGAAGTAATAACAGTTTCGGTGTAATAAGGGCGTGTTCCTACGGCCTCATATCAGGCCAACCTCATATCTGAATCGCACGAAACACTTGAATCTCAGCTTCATTTGAAATTGCATTGCATGTTTCCTTGTTTAATGCTCGACAAAAAACGTAGGGTGATTTCTGCATCTCCAAAACCGACAGAACAGAAATCTGTTGTACGTGTCAAGCGTGATTGCCTTAAGTGGATGAGAAAGCACGCAGAAAAGTTTGCATGTGATGGGTTCCTCGTGCAGCACTGCTTGATTCGATCTCGGCAGAGCACGATCCCGCAACGGCGTGTACGCATGCGACTTCGACACCCCAGACTGCAGTGGATCGTCCGACAAACTAATTGACCTCGTCCCACCCCGCTTCAAACACATCCTAGAGGCTCATTCGACACACCCAGATGGCAGACCCTAATTCGAACACAGCCCTCACCTTCGAGAGACGGATCTTCACTATCCTAGACCCAACGGCCTCTGCACCAACGGCCTCTACACTAACTGCCGCACGCCCACCACCTCATCCTCCAACAAGGCTGGCAAAGGCCTGCATGAGATCGAGGAGGCGGAACGCCTTGCGCCGCCCGACAAAGGGATGTCGACCCTGAAACCCGCGACCACCTCGTACAGATACTTTGACTTCGAAGAATATCGCACCTCGGACCTGCACACAAAGCAGAAGCAACAGCAATAGCACAGGCAGAACCTAGCAAAACCCCCGTAGAAGCTCGCGCACGATGCCTACGCACGTCTGGAGTCAGCTCAACCGATGACCTTTGGCACTAGCGCCTCGGGCATCCTTCATGTCAGACACTCAACAACTCCATCATCGCGGAATTCTTCGCACGTGGAGCCATAGTGCGACCTGACGGAACAGAACTGCAAAGCACCATACTGCCACACGCCTGCACGTTTGTACCACGGCCTGACTGACGCACTAGCCCTTTCCCTCGCTCGAACCCCTAACCAACCAATACGAGAAGCAGCACAATGTGTACAGCGACCACCTCATCGTCGGCTAAAGCGGCCTCAACAACGAATGTTATACCCTCACCTTCGTGGAAGCAAGCACGCGTTGCGTCTGGGTAGAAAACGTGCAAAATTGCAGCGGGGCTTATGAGGTATTCCTCCTCTGGCTGGCTCATGCGCAACAACGGTTGCGGAAGAAACTCCAGATCTGGCAGACCGACGGCGCAGCTGAGTTCCGCAGCAAAAATACTTCAACAACTCATTAGCGAGAAAGAAATCCTCCATCTCATTTCCCTGTCGTACGCACGCCCCCAGCAAGGCGTTCGCTGACGCACCAACTGCACGCTCATGACGAAAGTGCGCGTGCTACTGAAATATACCATGCTTCCCGACAAATACTGGCCATATGCAATGCACCACGTAGTACGGTTGTACGACCTCCTCTCCACCACCGCGAAAGTGGGGAACCTCTCACCTCACATGAAGTGGATTGGGAAGAAGGGAGATACCTTGATGCTACGAGTATGGGGGTGCATGGCCCAGTACAGCCCCACGTCTGCCACCATCGGGAATTTCATCAATCGCGCATGCCGGCGAATACACCTCGGAATCAGTTACAAGTACAAAGGCTGGCTCATTCCTGGATCCACAAACCAACAAGATCGTACTTGCTCGTAACGTCCTGATCTACGAATGCCACACTCTCTCCCGATTCCACGCCGAAGAACAAGCAGGAGCAGACCAAGCCTACGCTCACGGGGTCAAAAGCTTCGCCTCCCCTGAGGATCAGGCCGCAGCGGCAATTCTCGACGGTGACGCCGCTAATGAACGTCCCGGCATAAGGCCTCACCTGCGCGACAACAACGACGATGACGACGGAACCGCAAATGGACTGTCACAACGCCGAGATTTCGTGATGAGCTCTTTACCTGCACCTGAAAGCAACTACGACAACGTGCATGCGGAGAATACTATTCTACGGGAGAGCTTGACTAGCGTGGGACACACGGTCAGAGTTCTGGCAGTGATTCTCAGAAGTGAACTTGGTAGAATTCAAGCATAGGTCCACTAGCAAAAGTTGATAGATCAAGAATATGGTACAAGCAAGGAGAACCAAATAGCAAAGACAATGAACCCTGTAGAAACGTTCCCCGACAAGCACTTGAATCTGTCGAGTCAGCAATGGCAGGTGAAACGACAAACACATGCATATTTCACCCGAGTTGGTAGTTGCTCAGGTTTACAACGTTCATAGTTGTGCACGTTTTCACTGTTAGTAAAAACGTGTTTCAGGTTCAGTTTCCTTACTGAATCGAATTCTCCTGGGGAGTACAATTTCCGAAACTACCAGATTGGTCGAAATTTACAACGTTCATAGTTGTGCACGTTTTCTTAATTGGGCGAAATTCGCGCACATTGCGAATTTCGGAGCCAAGTAATTCTGGTCGACCAGAATCGCGCTGCTCGACGAAACACTCGTCAAACTAAATTCTGTCGACCAGCAATCCGTCGAAACACCAATTCTGCCAATTCCGTCTATCAGAAAGGCTCGTCTTTGACGCCGTTTTACTCCCGTCGACGAGCTCCTCCTGGACGAGGACTTTGATCGAGCAGAGGAAACACATCTACCTCGACCAATTAATCTCGTCGACAAACGACTCGTCGCACACAGATAAAAGTCCCCGAAGTCGCCGATGACCACGAAACAGACACCGTTTTGTTCCGAAATGCCTGGTCGACTTCGCCCAAGCGAGGGCGGGGCCTTTTCTCTTCGACAGTGCAAGAGGTAACTACCGAGAAGTGCCACAACACCGTCACGGGACTACAGCTACTCGGCCTCCACACTGCAACGGGAAATGCGCCACGAGTCATCAAGCCTAAGAATCCAAGGCAAACTCTAATAGAACCACACATAAAGGAATGGCGGGCAACGATGGATGCAAAACTGAAGCCTCTGGAGTTGCAGGATACGTGGGTCCTAGTCGACCGAGTTGCCGTGAAGGGTAGAAGGGTGCTGTTAGGAAAATGGGTTTTCCGCATGAAAACTGGCACAGATGGGTCTATCGAACGGTTCAGGGAGGGGTAGGCGCTGTGTGAGAGAGCGGCTGTGGGGCAGACGGTGCAGGTGACGGGATGTGGGGTGTTGTGTGGTTCCGTGCCATCAGGGTGCAGCAGTGCTCCTGAGAGAAAAACTTTGGCGCGGAGACAGTTGGCAAGGGTTTGGCGCGAGGGGTGGCCGAGCCTCTGGTCCCAGAGATCGTCTTCGGTGCGAATGCCACTGGTGCGCATGTAGCGAGTGTGATGCGCTGCTGCTTCCGCTTCCGTCTCTTGCAGAATCTGGAGCGGGTGTTCTTCTTCTTCTCCTGGTTCTGCTTCGTTGTCCGGCTCCTCTGTGTCTGCTTCTGTTGCTGCCTCCCCTTCTGCAGGTGCCATTGTGAGGTAGAGGGCGAGAAATTCGCGGTCGGGGATGATGTTGAGTGGAATCGTTGTGCCTTCGATGAAGCGGGCGAATGGATCTGGGCGCGAGATTGGACCAAGTGAGTCACGCGGAGGAGTTGGCGGTACATTCCCCTCCTCAATCTCCGACCAGGGGTCATTCCAATGATATGGTGAGCGAAGGGTTACACGAGTGCGCGGGGGACGTCCGAGTGGAATGGCGACTCGCGGAGATTGTTCGCCTCGCTCAGCTTTCATCTCCTGTTCGGCTTCTTCCAGCTCTTCTTGCGTGAGCTCGCCTTCCTCCCCCATCCTCCCGTGGTGACCATACCGCTGGCGCTGGCTCCCCATGCTCCAGTGGCGGATCCCCAGGTTGCGCCTTCTTCCGGTTCGTAGTCATCGTCGCCCCATGTGCCTCGTCGTGCTGACTACTCATCCCATCCAGCCGCTATGCGTTCCTCGTACAGCTTTTGATTCTTCTCTGCCTTGGCTTGGTCTCGTTCTTCTTTGACGCTCAGCTCGTCTTTTGCGTCAGGGTCCTTCCAAGCCGGGTCGATTTCCTTGCGGTAGGTATCGCGATCGTAGGGTCGCGCACGTCCTTCTTCGTCGAAGGTGCCGGTGTTGGCTATGAGAACGAATTGAAGTGTGTCTGAGCGTGGCGCTGGGCGTTCTTGCGGCATGAAGCCGCGTTCGGCGTCACCTTCACCGAAGATGCGGTGAGTGGTAACTGCGAGCTCCATTTCTGTCATGCCCGTGGGTTCTGCCTCGGCGCTCTCCGCCTCCTGAATTGCCGCATAGTCTTTATCCACTTGCTTTGTGCGGCTTGCCATGGGTGTGTGACAGGTGGTGCAGAGACCGTTAATGTCGGGCTCGTGCAGGTTGATCTTGCGGGGATGACGGCTGCAGCGAATCCACGATCGTCCGTCTGGGTGCTGCCATGACTTCTGGCGCATGAAGGGGAAGTCAAGGGGAATGAGGTCCACGAGCTCGTCTGATGAAGCTTGACAGCTCGGGATGTCAAAGTCCAGGACATAGATGCCGTTGATCGACCGAGCTCGTCCGAGATACTTGTGCGACTCATGAGGGGTGTCTCAGCGTCGCGTGTGTCTGGATCCGTGGCGATCATGACTCCGCAGTCTCTGAGTTGCCCTGCTGAGAGTAGGTTAAAGCGAAGGTCCGGGACGTAGAGTACGTCGTTGAACGAGATGTGGGTGTTACTGTCTCGTGCTTGTAGGACCACGATTCGTTGCGCGTTGGCGCGCAGCTGCTCATTGTTGGCGACGGTGACGTAGGTGGCGGGGGCGCGGCTTAGGTTCGAGACGTATCGAACAGATTCCACCATGTGCTGTCCGCAGCAGCTGTCCAGGTACCAGGTGTTGTAGTTGTCGGTGTTGTTTCTACGCAGGAGTAGCGCAAGTCGCGGGGTCACTAGGGTTGCCTTGTAGCGTCTGTGGAAGAATGGATCTTCGTCTTCTTTCCATCCCACAGGTACGTAACGCTGATTATCATGTGGCGGGCTTTCCCGCAGCGTTATTGGCAGATGCCAATCTTGCTCGTCTTCGTCATACCGATAGTAGTGGTCTTCTGTGAGAGGATTATTCCATCCTTCTTCTGGTTCAATCAGCTCTCCGCGTAGTTCGTCCTCTTCGTCTGGTTCAGCAGTGCGACGACGTCGCGTCGTCATATTCGCGATCACGTTTGTAGGAGCTCCTGTTTGAGGTCCTTGTGGCTGCTGATGTTGGTGCTGTGCAGGGGGACGAGAGGTCTGATGCTGGGGCTGAGAATGACGAGCGTCTTGTCGGCCGACCCAGTTGTCGTGGTGAGTGGAATTCGGGTGGCGATAGTTGGATCGGGATTTGCATTGATCCGTTGAGTGTCCGAAGACTTTGCATATTTTGCAATAGTGGCGCCATGGTTGTCGTCGCTCTTCACGGTTGTCTGTATAGAAGGCGAGGTGCTCTCGGCGCGGCGCGGAGCTTGTTCTGCTCGAGTCCATGTCCTGCTGTTCAGTCAGGAGTGCGGCGCATAGCGCGGCTTCTGAGAGGATTCCTCGCTGTCGGAGTAGCGCTTTGCAGGGCTTCCACTCTGGCCCGAGTTCTTGAAGGACTATGTTGACGAAAATCTCTTCTGAGATTGCGCTCCCATGCTTCGTGATCTGGTCACGGATGTTCCGAGAGCGGTTAATATAAGAATTCGCTTTCTCCTCGTGCCCCATCTTTGTCTCCATGAGTTGCTGCAGGAGCCTGCTGGGGGTAACCGAATCCTTCGGCTGATAAACCTCAACGAGATGCTTCCAAGCTTCCAAAGCTGGAGCGGCGCTCTCTTTGTAGGAGCGAATGCTGAGTTGTTCCGCAGGCGTCATATTTCGTAGCAGCACGTTCTAGTACTGAGCCCTGGCGTCGTCGGTGTCTTCCACCGGTTTAGGATAGGAGCCGCTGAAGTAATGGTAGATCTGCGCTGTTTGTAGGAGGAGCTCAAGCTCGAAACTCCATATATAGAAGTCCTTGCCGTCAAATGCGGCAGTAATCTTAATCTTTTAATCTTAGAGTCCTTGCGCAGAATTGATAACTTCATCACTTGGATGAGGGGCAGTAGTTGTTGATTTGTCTGTGTCGAGGGAGAAGGTGTGCGCGGCGGTATCATGGCTTTTCGCAGCCGGTTGTCCAGGTTGAGCTGGTTGGGAAGATGTTCCCGCATCGCCTATGCGCAGTTCTTGGAGTTCTTTATCCATAGTTGAAAGTCGAGCAAAAAACTGCTCGACTGCGGCAGTGCCGATCGTGGTTGTCGCCTCATTTGTCGCAGCCGGGTTGGTTTGTCCTTCGGCCGTTAGATTTGCTTGGCCTCCGGATCCTCCGGCCATCTTGGACTTGGAGCGTGTGCCGCTCGCCAGATCTGGGTTGGGCGAATATTATGGAAGTGACGTTGCGAAGAATCCCTGAGTAGCTCTCATACCATGTTACAATCCCAAGTGGGACTTAGCGAAGGATCGCTCAGGGTTGATCGCAGAGTAATGTTGCAGCGGAAGTTTAAATCTCAGGTCAGAGTGAATGTAAATGACTGAGTTTGATAATAGCATGCATACATCGGGTTTATATAAGAATACAAGGAAATACGAAAAGACCTAGACTAGCCATGTACTCTAAGGGGTACATTCCCTTATTACAGCGAATTCAACCGTGCGGCGCGGGAACCCGTTTCAAACCTGTTCCCGCTCTTTTCATTTCAAATGTTTCTGCCTGCATCGGTCTTGGTCAGACGGTTGCTGCGTCGCTTCGACTCTTCTGACTCCTCGACTTCGTACTCGGTAGAGTCGGCTCCTGCAGCATACAGGAATGCCTTCTCATACAACTTCATATCGTAACAACACTGATGCCTTACGGTAATTTTTTCTGGAGCTTTGATTTTCCTGATATGTCAGGGTTTATGTTTAAGGCACACTGTCGCCCTAGGGTTACCGTTATTCTTAGCGAATTTTACCCTCTCACTGCTCCTCTCTTCCCTGGCTGTCGCACTTCTCCGTGAAGGGTGGTTGACGGAAGGCAAGGCCAGGGCGGCAAAATTTGCCTGAGAAGGAAGGTGGGAAGGGTCAATGGGATGCTTCCCAGGGGTGCACATCTCTAGGGGTGAATGAGTGTTCTGTCGCCATTTACCTTCGTTTAGGTTCGGAGGGCAAATTGATGGCTCGGCACGGTTTTACGGGCTGACCGTCGCGTCGTACCAAAAAACGCAGAGAGGGTACCGTATGGCCCCGGATATAGGCGCCGGCCTATTACAGGCGCCGGCGCTTCTATCTGGAGCATGGCGCTTATGGCCGATCCTCGATTATAAGCGCCCCCCCTGGAAAACCATTACTTATTATAAGCGCCGCGTGCATTTTTTTTTTAAATTTGCAGCGAGTCAAATTTCATTTTCGCTTTGTTTGACTCGCGAAGACCTGACTGGCTGCGCGTCCAGTCAGGATGTGCTGGCATGCCTGCAAAGTGATGCGAATTTGTCCGTGTACAGGAAGCAGAATCGCTTGCGCGCGATTCTGCTTTGTGGCGCTATAATAGTTCGACTCGTTTGAAATGGCTACAACGAAAGGTACAGTTTGGTACCTTTAAAGTAAAAAATCGTATTTGTCATTATATCAGCGCCGGCGCTTATGGCCATTCCTCAATTACAAGCGCCACCCCTGAAAAAAAAAAACTTATTACAAGCGCATATGCGCTTTTATCCGGGGCCATACGGTAAGATTCCTATTTCCCCTCGCCCCCCCCCTCCGCCACTGCCTAGAGAACACCACCGTTGTAATTCCTTACAAGGCGAGCATTGTTTACCAAAACAATTTGGTTAAGAGCCAGAACCGCTCGGTGCCACACTCCACCGTACGAGCACCAACCTCTCCTGAAATGCCCCCTTCCAGGGATACTGGGGCCCTCGATTGCATCCATCCTGCGCTGCCGGTTGAACCGTTAGATGGCAAGCATCGGTGCCACCTGCTGCCATCACCATCGCCCCTCATTCACCCATGCGCGACCCGCCCCATCTCCTCGCTCACACCACACCCCTCGATACCTCCGTCCGCTCGCCGCGCCGACATGCCCGCCGCCCTCTCCGCCTGGGTGTGCCTCGCGCTCAACGTCACCGCCGCTTGCCACCTCCTGCTGCTTCCCCCGCGCGGCTCCCTTCCCCCCGCCGCGCATTCCCGCGCGTCGAATACCGGCCAATCAGACGCGGGCAATGAAGGTGACCCGCGGGTTGACTTGGGAGGCCGGTTCTGCGCCGCGGGTCTGAGCGTCGCAGGCGCCGTGCGATGGCCGTGCTCGTCGCAGCATCGTCGCCGTGCGACGGGCGCCGTGCGGGCCAGCGCGGGACGGCGGAGCATTGCGACGGCGGAGCAATGGCGGAGCATTGCGACGGCGCGACGGACGGCGGCGGCGGCGCTGACGCGCGGCCGTGGTAAGAGGCGCAGTGCCGCCGCGGTTCCCATCTGACCGCGCGCGCCTCCTCCCGCGTGTCTTCCCCGTACTCACCCCCCCGCGCCCCTGTTCCCAGCGCCGCTGTTCCCCACGGCCCCCATGCAGCCTTTTGCAGTCCACCACAGGCGTCTTCATAACCCTCTCCCCCCTCCTCCGCACCCCTCTCTCCCTCCTTTCGTTTCCCCCAGCAACTCACCATACACAAGCTACAACCGTCGCCATCAACTTCCCTTCGCATGCGCTACCCCTCCCCTCTCTGCCTCTGTCGCTCTGCTTCTCTCTGCCTCTCTCCCTCTCGCCCTCTCTCGTTGGGCCCAACTCCCATTCCCCAACCTTCGTTGCACCTTCGTCCCAAGCCCACCACTTGCTCCCATTCCCACCCCCCACGGCCACGTCACTACCCTTCCTCTATTTTTCCTCACCCTCCTACCACACTCCCCCAACCCCCTCCCCACCTTCCCCAATCCCCGCATCCCTTACCCCTGTATCCCGCCCCAATGCCCCCGCAAGCAGCAGGCTACAGGGGGAGCTGGCGGCAGTGGGCGCAAGCTGGGGGGAAGCGGAAGGGGGGAGGCGGAGAGGGAGAGGGGGGCCGGTGGGGAAGCAGCAGCAGAGGGATGGCGGGGAGCAAGGAGGCAGGGGGAGCAGAGCGCAGGAAGAGCAAGGGGGGCGCACCGTTGAGAGCGAGGCGGGTGGAGGGGTGGTGTGGGCGGATGGGACGTGCGCCCAGCTGTTCCTCCTGGAAGGTGTGGTGTGGTGAGAGACCGAGAGACCACCCGTGCCCTCCCCTCGTGGTGGTGTGGTATGGTGCAGTGCGGTGTGGTGTTTGTGGCGTCAGAAATAGCGCCTCAGCCTCCCCTCTCTCACTTCCCCTCTCTCCCTCATCATGTCGCCGTTGTCGCCCTAAATTTCACCCATTCGCCTCAAATCCTCTCCCACACTCAACCACGCCATCCCTGCATGCAGGCCTGGCATGGCATGTCACAGGGCCGGGTCGGGCCGGACTTTTTGGGATCTGTCACAAGTCGCCAACATTCTCTCGCTTAGGAAATCGTGTCATTATCTACCATACTAGAACCTATAACCCTTAGCCCATTCGTCACGGGTCAGCTAGCCCAGGGGCCAGAACCGGCACATGGCCGGCCACTGTCTGTCCTCCCAGCCCTTGCTGCCCCGGCGCATTTAGGTGTGGTTTAGGACAAACGAGGGCCACAACCATCTCGAAGCACAACCCGATTGAGGTTTTTTACTCGTTTTTGTATTTGTTCATGTGAGAAGAAAGGGGGAGATTTGGGGTTGGCCTGTTGCAGATGTGTTCAACATTCTCCCCCTCTGGTTTTGTGTGCCCTCCTAAACGCGAGTCGCGCGCTTCACTTCTAAAGCCGGGAAGTGGTTGGGGTGTAAGTCACGCGTTATGAGATGATGCTCATGCGTGATTTTGTCATAATCTACCCCAGCAAGCCCCAGCTCGCTCGTGTTTTGAGTCTGGTCGAATGATTCAACCGACAGAAGAAAAAAACGGCCAGGCCTGGGGCTGGTCCATCGCAGGCTGGTCCATCGCAGGCTGGTCCAGGCCGGATTTAAATCAAGCATGCATACCTACATCCATCCACCCATCCATCCCTCCATATACCCATGCCCTTGCGCTCTCGTCCTGCCTTCCCCCTCGCTTCCTTGTCTTCCCCCATTGGACCCCCCTGTGCCACAGGTACATGCCTACGCGCCCTCTCACTAGCTCACCAGCACGCCATGCATGCCGGTGTCAACACCCCTTTCACCTCCTCCGTGCCGCATAGGCCCTCGCCCCACTCCATGCTGTGTGTGCCGCTCACTTCACACCGGCCTTCCACTCCCCCACCCACCTCCACTTCCTCCTCCACTCTAACCTCCTCCTCCACCATCCCTTCTTCTTCTTCTTCTTCCTCCTCCTCCTCCTCCTCCTCCTCCTCCTCCTCCTCCTCCTCCTCCTCCTCCTCCTCCTCTTCCTCCTACTCCTCCCCTTCTCCCTCCTCCCACAGTCCACACTCTTCCCCATCATCACCCCCTCCAGCCGCTACCAACCGCTCGTCATATCAGCTACAGCCACACTCATTCCCCCCGACGCCTTTCACTGCGCCCCCACACGTTGCTGACACCCAGGTGGGCTCCCCTTGCCTCCCTGCCTGCCTGCCTGGCCGTCCCTGCCGCTCCGCATGCCCTCCCTCTCACTCACCACAAGCGGGTGTTTTTGCACATTGCTTCCATACATGTCCTTGCCCGGTGTCCCCACCCCATCTGCTCCCCTCCCCACCTCGTCCCCACCTCGTCCCCACCTCGTCCCTCACCCCGTTCCGCAACCATGCCATCATGCATCCCATCTCCCAGCCTGCCTCTCCCCCCATTACATGTCTCTGCCTCTGCCTCTGCCCCCTCTGCCATGCACCCTGGCACTTCACGGCCCATACCACAGCACAGCACAGCACAGCACAGCACAGCACAGCACAGCACAGCACAGCACAGCACAGCACAGCACAGCACAGCACAGCACAGCACAGCACACCACACCACACCACACCACACCACAGCACACCACACGGGACACTCATTGTCCCAACCAAAGCAGCCGTCCCCCCACCCAACCCCCCTCCTGCACGTGTGCTCCCCTCCCCCTCCTCTGCCAGGAGATCGCACTGCTGCGGCGAGCAGTGCAGGGGTCACCTGGGGATATTTCTCTGCTGTTCCAACGAGGTGCGGTGATTTGGGAGAATAGGAGGCGGGGGTGGGGAGTGATTGATGGGAAGGGGAAAAGGAGGGAATCAGGAGGAAGATAGGTGAAACGGGAAGGAGGAACAAGTGTGTGGAAGGAGTGAGAGAGGGCAAGGAGGAAGAAGTGAGAGGGCAAGGAGGAGGAAGTGAGAGGACAAGGTTGTGAGGGGGCAGCAGGGATTGCAAAGGGGAGGGAGGTGGAGGGAGGACGGATTGATAGAGCAAGATGCATAGAGCACTGCTAACTCGTTTTAAAGCCGCATCCGCTCTTTCAAACACAGCCACGGATATCACAGCGGTCAGCTGAAGCTCCCTTCACAATACACCATCCTCTCCTCTCCTCCCCCCCCCCTCCCCCTCCTCCCTCCCCCCGAAATCCCACTCTGCGCCTCCATCCGGCCTTGTCTCCATCGCGCATTTCCACCCACCCTCACCTCCGTCCGTCCCACCCCACTCTCCCCTTCTTCCCTCCTCCTTCCCCACCCCCCCTCTCCCTCTCCCCTCGCTCCGCCTCCTCTGCACCCCCAGGCGCAGGCGCTACTGGAAGCGGGGCGGTGTGGGGAGGCGGTGGGGGAGCTACAGGCGGTGGTGGCGGCGCAGGGGCAGTACTGGCAGGTGCGCGTGGTGCTGGGGCAGGCGCTCCTGGTGGCGGGGCACGCCCAGGAGGCCGACTCCACTCTGCAGGCTGTCCTGGCCATGGATGCACGGTGAGCACAGGAGGGGGAGGGGAGGGGATGGGGTGTGGTGGGTGGGTGGGGTGTAAGAAAGGGGTAAGGGTGGTAGGGGAGAGGAGGGGAGTGGAGATGAGGGGAGGGGAGAGGAGGGGGGGGGGGGGGGGAGGCGAGGTTACGGGAGGGAAGGGGAGGGGAGGGTGAATTCTTGGGGGCAGGGAGAGTGGTGAGGAGAGAGCAGGGAGGAAGGGTGGCATTCGAGGTGGAAGAGAGGGGGGGGGAGGGGGGAGAGGGGGAGGGGGGGAAGGGGGGGATTGCGGGGGTGGTGGTGTGGGAGAGAAACCGGACGTCCAGATGCTTCGAATGAAGTATAGAGTGCCGGCATGCTATGTGAGCTTGCAACTCGAAATTGCTATGTAAACAGAGAGAAAAAAAAGAAGCAATCTCATGCGCCCTTGCTTCCACTCGAGCTGCCACCCACCCAGTACTGTGCTCCCCCCTGTCCCTGCTCTGCACTGCTCTGCTGTGCTGCTCTGTGCTCTGCTGTGCTGCTCTGTGCTCTGCTGTGCTGCTCTGTGCTCTGCTGTGCTGCTCTGTGCTCTGCTGTGCTGCTCTGTGCTCTGCTGTGCTGCTCTGTGCTCTGCTGTGCTGCTCTGTGCTCTGCTGTGCTGCTCTGTGCTCTGCTGTGCTGCTCTGTGCTCTGCTGTGCTGCTCTGTGCTCTGCTGTGCTGCTCTGTGCTCTGCTGTGCTGCTCTGTGCTCTGCTGTGCTGCTCTGTGCTCTGCTGTGCTGCTCTGTGCTCTGCTGTGCTGCTCTGTGCTCTGCTGTGCTGCTCTGTGCTCTGCTGTGCTGCTCTGTGCTCTGCTGTGCTGCTCTGTGCTCTGCTGTGCTGCTCTGTGCTCTGCTGTGCTGCTCTGTGCTCTGCTGTGCTGCTCTGTGCTCTGCTGTGCTGCTCTGTGCTCTGCTGTGCTGCTCTGTGCTCTGCTGTGCTGCTCTGTGCTCTGCTGTGCTGCTCTGTGCTCTGCTGTGCTGCTCTGTGCTCTGCTGTGCTGCTCTGTGCTCTGCTGTGCTGCTCTGTGCTCTGCTGTGCTGCTCTGTGCTCTGCTGTGCTGCTCTGTGCTCTGCTGTGCTGCTCTGTGCTCTGCTGTGCTGCTCTGTGCTCTGCTGTGCTGCTCTGTGCTCTGCTGTGCTGCTCTGTGCTCTGCTGTGCTGCTCTGTGCTCTGCTGTGCTGCTCTGTGCTCTGCTGTGCTGCTCTGTGCTCTGCTGTGCTGCTCTGTGCTCTGCTGTGCTGCTCTGTGCTCTGCTGTGCTGCTCTGTGCTCTGCTGTGCTGCTCTGTGCTCTGCTGTGCTGCTCTGTGCTCTGCTGTGCTGCTCTGTGCTCTGCTGTGCTGCTCTGTGCTCTGCTGTGCTGCTCTGTGCTCTGCTGTGCTGCTCTGTGCTCTGCTGTGCTGCTCTGTGCTCTGCTGTGCTGCTCTGTGCTCTGCTGTGCTGCTCTGTGCTCTGCTGTGCTGCTCTGTGCTCTGCTGTGCTGCTCTGTGCTCTGCTGTGCTGCTCTGTGCTCTGCTGTGCTGCTCTGTGCTCTGCTGTGCTGCTCTGTGCTCTGCTGTGCTGCTCTGTGCTCTGCTGTGCTGCTCTGTGCTCTGCTGTGCTGCTCTGTGCTCTGCTGTGCTGCTCTGTGCTCTGCTGTGCTGCTCTGTGCTCTGCTGTGCTGCTCTGTGCTCTGCTGTGCTGCTCTGTGCTCTGCTGTGCTGCTCTGTGCTCTGCTGTGCTGCTCTGTGCTCTGCTGTGCTGCTCTGTGCTCTGCTGTGCTGCTCTGTGCTCTGCTGTGCTGCTCTGTGCTCTGCTGTGCTGCTCTGTGCTCTGCTGTGCTGCTCTGTGCTCTGCTGTGCTGCTCTGTGCTCTGCTGTGCTGCTCTGTGCTCTGCTGTGCTGCTCTGTGCTCTGCTGTGCTGCTCTGTGCTCTGCTGTGCTGCTCTGTGCTCTGCTGTGCTGCTCTGTGCTCTGCTGTGCTGCTCTGTGCTCTGCTGTGCTGCTCTGTGCTCTGCTGTGGAGGTGCAGCGCATATACGCCAACTTCCACTTCTCCATGGGCCACCACCAGTATGTCCCTCCGTCCCCTCAGCCTCCTCTTCCCCCACTCAAGCCCCCATCGTGACTCCCCCCTTCCGAGCCTCCCATCACCTCACCCGCCCTCATCAGATCATCCCCCCTTCTCAACGCACACCCCCCTCCCCCCCCCGCCCCCAGTCAACTCACACCCCCCCCATCAACTCACCCCCCCAAAGTCAACTCACCCCCCCCCATCAACTCATCCCCCCCCCTTCCCCCCTCCGTAACACCAGCTCAAAGCAGCCCCCCTTCATCACAACCCTCCCCCGAATCAACCCCGTCCTCCTGCGTCCGGCATGTGTCTCCGCTGCTTCATTGCAATCATTGAACGACCCCGCCAATCCCCCCTCTCTGCCTGCCACCACTCTCTCCTATGCTCCCCCTGCCACCATGCTTTCTCTCTCCACATCTGTATCATCACATCTCGCCATCACTCTTTTCAGATTGTCCTCTCTCCACTCGTTCCCCCCATGTTCCCTCCTATACTATCAGCCCCGCCAAGTCTCCTCCCTCCTATTATAGCAGACTAATCTTCTCTGTGCCATCCTATCGCATGGCTTCTAAAATGCACATGATAAATGCCTGCACCCTCCCATGCACCCATGCACCCACGTCCCATGCACCCATCGCATCGCATGCCTTCCTCCCACACGCCATCCCCCCGGGCCATCCCCACCGTGCTATATCCCACAGCACCGTGCTATCCACAGCACAGCACGTCCTTAGCATCGCATCATCAGACATTGAAATGCGCTTCCTGGAAGCTTCTTGTCTGCACGCCATGGGTCGATGGGCTGAAGTGGTCAGTGCCCCCCCTCACTCTCACACCTCTCACACCTCCCCACCTTGTGGAATCCCTCCTTACCAGTCAGCACCTTGCTGCCCTCTGCTGCCATTCTTGCATTCCCAGCTTTGCCCATCCCTCTGTTCTCATCTACTGTGCTCCCCTCGTCCATCCCGCTCCCCTCGTCCATCCCGCTCCCCTCGCCCATCCCGCTCCCCTCGCCCATCCCTCTCCCGTCGTCCATCCCTCTGCCCACACTTGTCCACCTGTCCGTGCTACAATGCCATGGCATGGCGTGGCAGGTGCGCGAGTACAATGACCTCATGAGCCTCGCCCCACCACCCGGCACCGACCCCGGCAGGCACTACCAGGCCTTCTATCAGGTCACTTCTTCTGCTGCGCCTTCGGTTGCTGCTTAGTGACTTACCAGTGTTCTCGTATCATGCAATATCATGCAACACGATACCACAATCTACCTCGTGTAAGCACTACCAGTGCTGCTACTTCACTTACTCCCCCTGCCTCCAACTTGTCTGCCTGCATTCTCCTCATGTGTGTGCGTGCGTGTGCATGCGTGCATGTGTGTGCGTGTATGTGTGTGCGTGCGTGCGTGCGTGCGTGCGTGCGTGCGTGCGTGCGTGCGTGCGTGCGTGCGTGCGTGGATGTGTGAGCGTGCATGCGTGCATGTGTGAGCGTGCATGCGTGCGTATGCATCCTTTTCTGCATGATCGTCCACAAATCTGAATGCATGGAATGCGAGTGCACTGCATTCCAAACCAATCCAAATTAACCCAGACCACTCTCATTCTACACTCCTTCCACCTCATTCCCTCCTTCCTTTCCGCCCTCTATCTCCTGTCCCCTCTCCTCTTCCATTGGTGCTTGGGCACCACCAGTACGCATGGCAGGGCTGGCAATGATGGACATTCTTTCAGGCGCCTTAGAAAGTTTATCCCCTCCCCGTGTTCCCTCACCTCTCCTCCGCTCTCCCTCCCCGCCCCCGGGGCACCACCCTTACCAGTACCGCATGGCAGGGCTGGCAATGATGGACATTCTTTCAGGCGCCTTAGAAAGTTTATCCCCTCCCCGTGCTCCCTCACCTCTCCTCCCCTCTCCCTCCCCGCCCCCGGGGCACCACCCCCACCAGTACCGCATGGCAGGGCTGGCAATGATGGACCTTCGAGACCTGGTGCGCCGCACATGGGGGGCCATGGCGGAGGAAAGAGCCAGCGCGGTGGAGAGCGGTGCGGATGAGCAGCAGGCGGAGGGCAAGCGGGGTTCAGGAGGGAGAAGGGGCCAGCGGCGGCAGCAGCGAGAGCAGCAGCAGCAGGAGGAGGGGGGAGGGGAGGAGAGGAAGGGAGGGGAGGGGAGGGCATGGGCCAGATTCGGTACGATGAATCTGGCCAGGCGAGCAAGGCGTGGCGGGCGTGATTCCACGCCTTGTTGGCAATTTCACGCGCGTTTCATGCACAAACTCGAACGTTCTAGATTTGGATTGAATCCCCGTTTGAAAAAGCTTCAAATACATGTAAAAAAAACCAATTTCAATTTTGCCATTTTATAGACGCCGGCGCTTATAAAAATCCTCAATTATAAGCGCACCCCCTAAAAAACAATGTTTTATTATAACCCCAGGGGCGCCTCTATCCGGGGGCTGACGGTATAGTGTTGACATGTATGACTTCCAAAACACTAATATACATGACCTTATGACAAGACCCGGGTCTTATAAAATGTAGCCAACTGTTAAGACCACCCCCTCAATTTTGGGGTGGGATTCTTATAATACCCCCGGGTCTTATATCCGGGGTATTACGGTATATAATTCTGCATGTGAACTGGCATGATGGCCATTTGCTTGTGCTCGGAATGTGTCGACTTCGTGATCCACCCTGTGCTTGCTTTGCTATTCTTGACTGGTCTTGTGACCACTTGTTCTCCCCCACTTTGCCCATAAGGGTATGTCAAAATATTATGATGTTCTTGTTGTGTAGGCTGTAGTGGGGTAACCCATAAGGGGTACAGCCCAATTAGGGTTAGTACTTGTACCCACTTTGATCTTAGTTAATCCATTTTCGTTGTCCTCTTCTGACACCCCAAGGAGGAAAAGGGGAGGGGTACAAGCAGAATGTTGAGAAGTTTGGTGTACCCCCTAAGTTGCAACCCACTACAACATATCTAAGCTAAAAAGCTACAGTGATCTCTCAGTAACCCCACAAGAACCCCAGAGGCAGCCAACTCTTGACACGATCGGAATCCGAGCTCCTCATCGAGCTCCTCATCGAGCTCCTCATCGAGCTCCCGCCAGCAGAACAGGTGGTGGCACACGACACCTCTCCGGTGCTTGCACTCTCGTCTCCACCACCCCCCTCCCACTCTTCCTCCTTGTCAGGGCAGTGCTTGTCAATGAGGGCACGGATGCGGTATACCACGTCCTTCATGTCGGGGCGGCGTGTGCCCGGCGCCTTCGTGCAATCCAGCGCCAGGTCAGCAAAGTCCACCACGGCCACATCACTGGCTTGCATCTTGCTGTCCTTGAGCTCGTCCAGCTCATACGTATCCACCCTCTTCTGCGCCTGCACCACAGAGAACAGCCGGTGCACGGGAGCATAGTAGAAGTGAAAGACGCGTGGTAGTGCAGCAAAAAGAAAAAGAGCAAGGCGGCATGGGGCAGACACAAAAAAGCTGCAAGGTAGCATGTTAGGGAGGAAAGGCGGTAGCAAGGGGCAGTGCCGCGATTGAATCTAGCATGGGCATACCCAGGTCTTGATAGAGTATCCATGGTAAGAGGGTGGCTTTCCACTCAGCAACTCCAGAAGCACAATGCCGAAGCTGCAAGCAGGCGCGCAGGGGGGCATGGAAACGGCTGGAGAGAATGACGACCAGCAACAGTCTTGTTTGTGCATTAGCAACGTTTGACCCGTCCTTCATGCAAGTATTACATTTCAGACGTGTCAAGTGCATCAGTGTTCCAGTATCTTGTGATGACACTGAAGAGTTGGCAGATCGCCATCCACGCCCACCTGAAGACATCGCTCTTGGCCGTGATGACCCCAGTGCGGTTGTAATCAGGATCCACATAGCCGGGTGTGCCCTCCACTCTGGTGGCATGAGCATCGCCGTGAGTGAGCTGCTTGAGCAGCCCAAAGTCAGCCACCTTGGCGTGCATGTGGGCTGTCACGAGGATGTTGGCGGGCTTGATGTCGCGGTGGATGATGGGCGTCGCGAACCCGTGGAGGTACACCAGGCCTTCCGCTGCTCCTTGCGCCAGGCGCAGCCTCTGGCGCAGCGAGAGAGGGTCTGGAAGAGAGAGAGCACGAGAGGCAGGCCCGAAGCGTGTTTGTGCGTTAGTGGCTTTTCACATTCTCTGCTAAGGCACACAGGGCTGGCAACTTGGTGCCTTGGTGCGAGAGTTACTGACTCTTGCTCTTGTGGATGTGGTGGTGCAGGTCTCTTACTCTTGGTCTTGTGGATGTGGTGGTGCAGGTCTCGGTTGGCCACAAACTCGTACACGAGGATCTGCTCCTGCTTGCCCGTCTCCACGTTCTGGTCCTGGCAGAAGCCCAGCAGGCGCACCAGATTCACGTGGTGCAGCGATGCCATGGCTCGCACCTGCACGCACCGCACAGCACCGCAATATGCGACTTGCAGGGTTCAACAGTGCTTCCACTACAGAAGAGGCAGCTCAGTATGCCACGGTGCTGTGGCTGAGTGGAAAGGATTGAGCAATGGTGTAGAAGCAGCAAGGCAAGGGCTGACCTCCGTCTCAAACTCGTTGGTCATGACAGTGGAGCGCTTCACTGCCCACAGCTGCCCCTGCGGCGAGATCCCCTTGTACACGGTGCCAAACCCGCCCTTCCCCAGCAAGTTCTCAGGCGCCCAGTTGTCCGTGGCCTTCACGAGCTGCTGCAGTGAGAACTGCTCGCACAGGTCCAGCCCCTCCCACTTCCCTGTGCCCCAACAGAGCATTGTAAGGTAGGGTGAATGGTTGGAGGCCGTGCAGCAACACGCATTTGGGAAGGGTTTGAGCGAGTGGGAAGAGCAGGAATGCAGAAGTGGGGCGGCAGGGAGGGTGAGTTGTAGTGCAGGAAGGGGTAGGGCAGGGGTGGGCTAACGGGAAAGAGGTGTAAGAACGGAGGGATGACATGGGAGCATTGTTGGCGGTCTTACTCTGTCGTCGGGGCCACAGTAGCCAGGCGAGCACAGCAGTGAGCAGAGAGAACCCGAAAAAGCACCCCAGAGAAATGCCCACGATGGCATCTGTTGACAGCGATGACACTGCCAAGGAGGGAGCAGGGAGGGTGGGGAAAAAGAAGTGAGGAGTGGGGGGGACGGAGTTGGAGTTGGAGATGTGATACGGGAAGGAAGGGCAGCAGGGGGGAGATGTGAGCACAATCACACACGCACAGCATGGGCTCCAATCTCCAGATGAGCTGTGCATACATGTGTGAGGGTGCCTCACCAGCAGTGATGGCACAGGTGGAGCCGTTGCCCAGGTCCACGGAGGAGTACCCGGCGTCGCACATGCACGTGAAGTTGGCCGGGACGGCCGGAGCAGGCGGCACACACGCCCCATGACCGTCACACGGGCCGTTGTCCGTGATGCTGCAGAACGCCTGGCAGGCTGCCGTGCTGCGCTGAGTGGCGTTGGACGGGCACTTGACATCCCGTTTGAGGGCCAGGCAGTTGCCCGCGAGACTCCCCCTGGCGCCCTTGCCTGCCCCCGTCACCGAGTAGTCTCGCTGGCCTCCGAAGGCAGTGTCAGTGCACTTCCCTGCCACGTGCACGCTGCTGTCTCCCAGCAGCAGCTGGTTGCGCTGGGGGATCTCCTCGGGGCACACCTGGCAGCCTGCGGCAAAGAGCACGGCGTCGCCGTAGAAGAAGTTGTGTGCGAGGTTGATGAGCGCGCCGCCGTCCGCTACCATGCTGTTGAAGTTGTGGCTGATGCGCCCGTACAGGCTGTTGTTGCTCACATCGCTGCAGGGAGCAGCAGGAGGGGGGGGGGGAGCGACAGGGATTGGTGCTGTGCTTGGTTCTTTGATCCGTGGTTCAAGTTGACAAGTGCCTTGCCGTCAGTCAGCCACTATGCTGTTGAAGTTGCAGCTCACACGCTCGTACAGGCTGTTGCTGCTGCATCTCTGCAGGAGGGGAGGGTTGGGGGGGTTTGGTGGGGCACAGGACAGACGTGAGGGCTAGAAAGAATTGCTCACTAGAGCGAGCTGAGAACCACCTGACGGTGAGCAGCGCGTTCAATCAACGCATGCCTCTAACTGCTCTTGGCACCTTTGGTAGCAGTGACAGCAGTGACAGCAGTGAGTAGCTTGTCTCGCAGCACCCTTTGGTAGCGGGGACGGGACGGATGAAGTGAGGAGGTGGGCTCACATTTGGTTGATGCACTTGTCGAAGAGGCAGTCTGGCAGAGGGCCATAGAGAAGGTTGTTGCTCACCATGCTGCCAGCACAACCCATGCCATGCCATGCCATGCCATGCCATGCCATGCATGAAGCACCACAAGTCGCACCATACGGAGCCGCATAGAGCAAAAGAGAGACAAGGCAAGAAGACAAGGTAAGCTAAGATAAGCAGGATAAGGGTGCATTCCATGTTGGTGGCAGAACAACTAACTGTTCAGGTTGAGTTGGTGGCAACTGTACCCAAAAACTCGGTGGGCCGGAAAATGCGCATGCTACCAACAGTGCAATGAACAGTTGCCATGTCACCAACATGGAATACGCCCTAAGTAGAGACACGACAGACTGGCACCACCTGGATAGATGGGCATGCTGCTTGCTTGGGTATGTCATGATATGCTTGTTTGTGGCGAACTGTCTTCTTGCCTTGTGTGGCAGCCACTCAGATGCGCCACAGCCACTCACATGCGCCACAGCCACTCACATGCGCCACAGCCACTCACATGCGCCACAGCCAGGGCAGCGAGCAGATGGCAGATGGCAGAGGGCCCTCGATGCTGTTGTTGTCCAGCCAGCTGGGGTGGCCAGGCAGGGGCAGAAGCAGGGGCAGAAACAAGTGCAGAAGAAGGGCCAGAAACAGGGGCAGGAACAGGGTAGATGCATGGCCAGAAGCAGGGGCAGAAACAAGTGCAGAAGAAGGGCCAGAAACAGGGGCAGGAACAGGGTAGATGCAGGGGCAGAAGCAGGGGCAGAAGCAGGGGCAGAAGTAAGTGCAGATGCAGGGGTAGAAACAGGGGCAGACCAAGAGGCAGAAGTGGGGGCATGAGAGCAGCAGAGTGCAGTGCAGCATGGCAGAAGGCACAAAACATGGGTGGGTTCGGCAGGGCGGACAGCTTGGCACGCAGGTAGGCATGAGGAGGAGAATCAATATCCTTTGGTGCCCCAGAGGACAAGGACACGACACGACATGGAAGGATTCAGGGTTTAGGCGAGATCCAGGGAGAGGAGCAGGGAGGAGAAGTGAGCAACAGCGGGGGAGTGGTTTGGGCACCAGGGTTGCGTGCAAGATTGAAAAATAACCGCTAACTTCAAACCCTTGCCTCATTCGCTGCCAGGCACATCCAATTGCCCCCATGCCTCACTTCGCCCCCATGCCTCACTTCGCCCCCATGCCTCACTTCGCCCCCATGCCTCACTTCGACCCCATGCCTCACTTCGCCCCCATGCCTCACTTCGCCCCCATGCCTCACTTCGCCCCCAAGCCTCACTTCGCCCCCATGCCTCACTTCTCCCCCATGCCTCACTTCTCCCCCATGCCTCACTTCGCCCCCATGCCTCACTTCGCCCCCATGCCTCACTTCGCCCCCATGCCTCACTTCTCCCCCATGCCTCACTTCTCCCCCATGCCTCACTTCTCCCCCATGCCTCACTTCTCCCCCATGCCTCACTTCTCCCCCATGCACGTCCCCTTGCATCCCTTGCTGTGCAAGTCGCTACCCCTCATTGCTTGAGAGCTATGTTATTTGAGAAAGATGCGACCAGCGTCCTAGAAGCTAACGTCCTGGGTGCCTACCTAGTTATTTTTAGGACGCCCTAAAAGACGCTGGTCCGGGCAGTTGAAAAAAAAAAGATTGGCAGCAAAAGAACAAAGGCGTTAGAGGTTGAAGTACACATAGTCTATTATGGAGGTAGGCTTAGCTACTAGATCTAGGATTTCGAGAAAGGGAATCTAAGTCGCCAAGGAGAAATGCTGAAAATGATGACCTGGTTCTTCTAAACCGGATGAGATCCACGTCGTCAAGTATGGAAACCCAAGGTTGTGGGGGAAATTTTTGGTTGGGACGGCATTTGGGGTCGAAATGTGTCTGCCTGGGCCTCGATTTCGTGAAATTGACATCCGCATTGAAGTCGCAAACGTCAATCTCACAGTTTATTTTTTTAGGGGCAGCCCAAAAACGTTTGCATAAAGCGTTCTGCGTCTCGCACTGCGTCAACGCCAGAGCATCTTTCTCAACATAGCTTGAGAGGGTAGGAAGGGAGGGCAGGCAGGGAGGGCAGGCAGGGAGGGCAGCCAGGGGGGGCAGGCAGGAAGGGCCCTCACATCTGTTGTAGCTTCTCCAAGCGACTGATGGCAGACGGCAGACTGCCGCTCAGACGGTTGTTGGCCAGATAGCTGGAGAGCATGGCGAGGAGCATGGGGGGCAGCATGGAAGGGAGAATGGAGGGGAGTAATGGAGGGGAGTATGGAGGGGAGTATGGAGGGGAGTATGGAGGGGAGTAGGGATGAGCAAGGGGACAAACACCTGTTCGGTTCGCCTCGAACACGTTCGAGGCGAACCGAACAGGTTTTTTTTTGTGGCTTAAAGTGTTCGCCGAACAGTGTTCGAGGTTCGCCCGAACACGTTCGTGTTCGGGCGCTGCTGCAATTTGCCCCGCAACGAACACGAACGTGTTCGAGGTTCGCCCGAACACGGCTTCACAGGCGAACGGCGAACACCCTTTTTCGGGGAAGTCGTTCGGCGAACCGAACTGTTCGTGCAAGGGCGAACGCGAACATGTTCGAGTTCGCCCTTTGCTCATCCCTAGAGGGGAGCATGGAGGGGAGCATGGAGGGGAGCATGGAGTGGAGCGATTGCTGTGAGCAAGAGCAGGATATGGAAGAGCAGCACAGGATGACACAGGAAGAAGTGTGGTCATAGTAGAGGAAGCGAGGTGCAAAGGTTTGTCCTAAAACAGAACATCCATCAATACATGGGCACTAGAGTCTCACAGCGATTGTAGGTTCGTCATGTTGAAGATGGTAGCTGGAATGGTCCCCGCCAGTTGGTTGTTGTCCAGGATGCTGGAGAGGCATGGCAAGGGCAGAGAACATGAGGCATGGCAAGCACAGAGCGCATGAGGCACCGGCTGCTGCAAGGTGCTAGCCTGGCCATGCCAGCTTTTCCCCTGAACTACTCTGGGTAGGAAGACGATATTCCAGATGCAGGTTGGAATATAGTGAGATGAGGGGCATGTGGTGAGGGGCATGTGGTGAGGGAGGGGCATGTGGTGAGGGTGCAACAGCAGTTGAGGCTCACATGGCCTGCAGAGTGGAGAGCGTGGAGATGGAGTCAGGAATGGGCCCTGTGAAGTTGTTGTTGCTCAGCGCTCTGCATGATGCAGGCACCACAAACAGCACTCATTGTGGGGCATGGCACCCACAAACCCACGAGACGTGATAGAGGCAAGGAAAGACACAAGCTAGTGATTACAAAGATGGCACCAAGGAGAAACGCAGATTTGTCAAGAAAAACAGAGAGGGGATTGAGGCAGGAAGAAGAAAGAGTGGGTAGGCAAGGCAGGTTGGATGGGGAGGGAGGGAGAGGAAGAAGCTTACAGCGTTTCAAAGTTGCCCTTCCAGAGCGAAAAGTCTGGCAAGGAGCCTGCGAAGCCGTTTCCCGCAAGGCTACTGCACACGGTAGTGTTTACAATGGGAGGTAGTCAAACTCCACTTCAGGGACGATCAGCACAGAGAGTGGTGGCGACGACAATGGCAGCACAGCGAGTGGTGGCGGCACAGCGAGTGGTGGCAGCACAGCGAGTGGAGGAGTTGCTTACAGCGTGGCAAGTGTGGAGGAGGCCCTAAGCGCAACTGGAAGGTTCCCAGAAAGAGAGTTGTTGGCCACTTGCCTGCGTTGGGAAGGAGGGGAGACAGGGGGAAGTGGTGGTTGCATGCATGCATTATGAGCCACTGCTGGAGTGGAAGCTGAGAAAAAGAATGCTAAGGTGAAGAATGATGAGATGCAAGGAGGTCTCAT